CGCTCACGTTTATGATAAGAATGAGATTAACGACAATGAAGAAGACTCTAAACTTATAGAGATAGAGAGTGTGACAGCAGTTGTAAAGAAATTGGCAGTTAGTTGGTGAAAAGAGAAAATTGAAGAAAAAATAAATTTAGCAAAAAAAACAATTGAACAAAAAGAAAAAACTAGCGAAGAGGTAAAAAAATTAATCGAAGAGTTGGAGTTAATTGCCAATTGAAATAAGGAAAAAGATGGCTTAAACCAGAAAGAGGCATTTAGAGAAAAAGAAAGTGAGTTTCACACCCATCTGGAATTGCTTAAGTATGAGTTTTACCTTTCAAATATTAAAAAAATAGAAAAGATTTCGGAAATTACTAAAGTTGAAGAGGAAATAGGAACAAAAATGAAAGGGGGACACTTGCCACCAGAAAAAAAAGTAAGTAATTTATACCAGTCTTTAAATAACCAAAAAGCACTTATAAATCTAAAAGATATAGTTAACAGCGAGGAAATTCCCACCGAAATTGATAAGATAAACGAGCAACTAGAAAGATTACTTGCTCGTGCTACTTCGGCTGAGAAATTTGCTTACCAGGAATTGAACAAGGAAGGAGCAGTTGATAAAAAAGAATTGGAATTAAAGAAAACTAAACATCTAAAGGTAGACAACAAGGAAGAAAAGTGAAAACATGGTCTAACTGAGGAGCATGAAAGATTAATTGTGGACTCTGAAAGCAAGGATAAGTTATTCGTAAACGTGGGAAAAATTGAGAAATACTTTCAGTTTCGTACTGATTTTTACAAGGCTGCTGAAATTACTTCCAGTCTTGAAAACGACCAGTTAATTGATAAATATCGAAAAATAAAAGGAATAAGTGGAGAGAGAGCGGGCTTAATTTATAAAGATGGTTGAAAAGATCCAGATGAGGTTGATGAGGATGGAATTGCTAATTTAGACAAGGAAAAAGATGGTTATCGTTATGATGTACAGAGTACAAGTAGGTTACAGGCAGAGATAATGAATGAATTACAGACAAAAATCGACGAAGCGAGAGAAAAGGTTAATACTGCTACTCCTGAGCAGATATCCTCTTTACTAAAAGAGTTACTAAATTTCAATGAAAAATGGATAGAAGAAGGCAAGGATGACTCAGCAAAAAAGGCTCGGGAGGGGGCTCTATACCAAAAAAAAACTAGGTTAGACCAAGTCTTGAGAGAATTAACTGAAAAAGAAATTCAGTCAATATGTGATGACATGTCTGACCCAAATAAATATGGCAGTGATTACAACAGGTTAGAGGAGTTAGTGGGTGATCGTATCGAGGCTTTGGATGATGAATTTACAGACAGTAAAGGCAGAAGCAAGTCCTTTCTGAATGAAACTAAAAAGGAGCTAGAAAGTATCTTAAAATTCCGTGCCGATTTTCTCGAAGGTAATGAAGGAGAAGAAATTAGTGATGAATTTATCTATAAATATCGGAACAAGGGGCTCAGCGGAAAGCAAGCAGGTCAGGTTTATCGCGAATATCTTTGAACTGATCCAGAGGAAATTGACAGCAGTGGTTATGCTAATTTACGGCGGGAAAATAGGGATTACCCTTTCTTGGTCTTAAGTATTACTCGCCAAGAAGCCGAAAAAAGAGTGGCAGCAGAAGAAAAATTGCGCGAAGTGGTCTATCGTCCAGAAATAAAAGATGATTTAGAAAAACTTAAATCACATTTAAAAGAGTTAGAAGATTTAATTCCCAAAGACGAATCCGCTGGGGACCAAACGACTCCAATTCAATACGCCTATCGGTACAATAAAGAGGCAACTGATTCTAAACGGAAAAATTTAGAAGAAGCAATTGACAATCTTCAAAGAAAATCCTTTATTAATGAAATAGACAGTTCCGTGCAAAAAATAAACACTAGCATTCGAGGACAGGGGGTTGAATTAATTGAAGATGATAGTACAAGCGAAAATCTTAGCGATTACAAAAAATGAATAAATGACAAAAATACAGATTTGGAAGAAGTAGAAAATTGGATAAAAAATGGATTAACTGTTGAAATTAAAGCACTTCTTGTAAAACGCTTGGAAAAACTTTGTCAAATCGAACCTAAGATAAATTATGAAGATATAGGTATTACTACCAGCATTCAAAGTAATTTTGCCAATGTCAAAACGTTGAGTGAATTAGCAGCCAAAGGGGCTAGAATTGCTAACAAAATTGTCAACATAAGAAATGATCAAAAAAAAAATGATCTTGAAAATGCTGCTGATATTTTGAAAAATTTGATTAACAAGGAAGTAAGTGAAAATTTAGAAGAACTTCGTCTTGACTTGAATAACTTTCAAGATTTGATTCCAATTGAACCAACAGGAGGCAAATCAATTACTGGAAGACAGTTAACTCCTGCCGAGATGGAGGCCTACAAGGAAAATAGAGATGAGGCAGATGAGAAAGAATTAAATCTGCTCAAAAAAATTACTAAACTCGAAGGAAAGGACTGAAATCCGCCTTTAAGCGAAAAGGAATGAGAAGAAGTTGAAAAGATAAACAACAGGACCCAATTTTGAATAACAAAAAGCCAGTTAACTCATGAGCGTGAGATAGAGAGGGTATTAGAAGAATCAAAAAAGACACTGGAAGATGAGCAAACTCAAAAAGATCAGTTGCTGGGACTAATTTATACTTTAGACGCTTTTGGTGAATGCCGTGATGAAGAATGAGGACAAGAAAAGGCCTGGCGTAATAAGGAAGAAAAAGTAAAAGAAGTAATCAAAAAATTAAAAGTAAAAGTTGCAGGACTTAAGTTTGATGAATATATTGGTGAAATTGCCGAAGAAAACAGTCCGTCAGTGCTGAATAAATTAGGAGAAAAATGGACTGAGTATTTGCGCCAGCAGGAAATATCTAATGAGGAAATGCCAGCGGGAAAAAGAAAAAAAGACTTGCTGGCAGCAATAGAAAAAAGAAAGAGTGCGATAGAAAAAGGTGAACTCGCCAAAACTAAAACTGAAGCAGAAAAAATAGCTGAAGCCAGAAACGAAGCAGACGGTCTGAAAAAGAGAATAAGGAATTTTCAAGAAGAGTTAAAAAGACGAAATATCACTTCTGAAGAAAATAATTGAGATGAAAAAACTCTGGAAGTTATTGACGAAAGGGACAATCTCCAAAAAATAATTAATAACGCTGAGAAAATTTTAGGAATTTCTCTCAAAAGTTTGGGAAATAAAACCCCATCGTTGGCTAACTTTTCCGAAATTGCTAGTTCACTAACCAAAATTGGAGTAGTTTTAGAAAAAGATGAAGATGACCGAAATTACTATGACTCTGAAAAGTTAGGAAATAGATTAAGTGATCTAATAAGTAAAGAAAAAGAAAATGAATCACTAAGCGAAGCAATTAAAAACAAAGAGGAAAAAATAAGTCAACTCATTGATGAACTTGGAACGGTAAGGGGAGAAAAGGATTCATTAAGTAAAATGCTTTCCCAGATAGGTGAAAATGAAGAAAATTTAAGAAAAGATAATGGAGAGGTGCGGAAGACACTCGGGGAAAAAGAAAACGAGTTAAAAGCCATAAATGAAAAAAATAAAAGTCAGGAAAAAATAATCCAAGAATTAACTGAGAAACTAAACAATTCTAAGAAGCAAGTGGATGACCTGCAAGTAATAATTGCTGAAAATGCTAATAAAGAAGAGGAGTTAAAGAAGACACAAATGATTATTGAATTATTACGAGTAAAATTAATAAATGAGTTAGGAGAAGAAACGGAGGCCAAAATAGAAACATTAGCCAAAAGTAATAATTATAAGTAAAATAAATTAAAAACATACATAATGTTTATGATAAAAAAAATATATCTCAAATTCCAAGTCTTTCGGTGCCGCTAAGGCACAAGAGTAGGAAGGACAGAAAAGTAATCTCTAAGTAAACCTTATTTACGATAACAACTATAAATATATACGCAATAACACATACAACTAACACACCAAATAAGATAAATATCAATATGGCAAAAATTAAAGCACAAGAGTGGTTAGAAAATAACCACCAAAATAAAGAAGAAATAAAAAAAATAAATTTTGTATTATGAAAGTTAAGGGCTAGGAAAAAAGATGAAGAGTTGGAAGGTGAATTATTAATTGATGGTTATCCTGATTTAGAGGAAATCGATCTTTCCCAAGCAAAGGGAATAACTAAACTGACTATCAACGTTAATTGTCCTAAAATCACAGAAATTATTCTTTACGACAATTCACTTACTGAGATAATAGGACTAGAAAATTTAACTAATTTAAGAAAACTGAATTTTGGGAAAACGGGGATAAGAGAAATTGATATTAGCAAAAATATTCAATTAGAGGAACTTTCTTTCCACCAAAATAATAGCGAGAAAATTAAAATTAAAGGTTTTGGAGATATTATTAGGAAAAATAAGCTATTTCTTTGAAACAGTACTAGAACTATGGCTTTCCCATGAGAACAAATTGTTGAAGAAGATTTAAAAGAAATAGCGGAGGCTTTAGGAATAGAAGAAGAAAAAATAGAAGACAAGCCAGTCGAAGAAGTAAAGAAAATTATTGAGGAAGAGGCAAAAAGACTTCAAGAAAATGAAGAAAAGATTAAAGAGAAATTTCCAACTTTGATAAATGAGGAAGGTAAAATCGTTGATAATGAACTAAATAATTTAGGAAAACTAAATGATAGTAAGGATGATGTTGCAAAAAGAATAGAAAAACTGGAAATAAAAAACAGTTATTTAGAGAATTATATTGAGATAGAGTTGGGAGATGAGGCACTAAAAACAATTTTGGCAGAGATAGAACAAGTAGAACAACAAGTGGAACAGATGGCACAAATAGAAGTGAATAAATAAAAAACAGTAAATTAAAGCAAACATTATGGAAGTTCAAAAATGATTGGAAGAGAATTATCCACAAACCTCAAGGCATCGCCATAAAGTTATGTATATTGATGAACAATTAGAAGGTGAATTAGACTTAGCGAGTTTCAATATTTTAAAAAGTATATGTATTTCTCAACACGTAGATAGAAACAAGTTCACAATTAAAAATAAAAAAGGGCCAACTGTAATATTAGAGTTAGTAAATGTTAAAGAATATCTGGACCAAAATTATCCCAAAGAGAAAAGAAATGAGATTGAAGAGTTAAATATCGCCGAAAAAGGTTTAGAGGGAGACTTAGATTTAAGAGATTTTGTGAATTTAAAAGAATTAAGTTGTTGAAATAATAAATTAACCTCCTTGAATGTTGACAACTGTCTGAAAATTGAAAAAATTGTCGCCTACAATAATCAAATTGGCAAGTTAGTAGGTAGTGAGAAATTAATTAATTTAAAAGAGATAAATTTAATAAATAATAAGTTAACAGAATTGAATTTGACAGCCAGCACTAAGTTATTTTGGGTAGCCGCTCATGGCAATCCAACTAAAACAGTGGAGATAGGGGATACTCCTCATTTAACTCATTATGTTGGAAAAGATATTGTTCTTTCTTGAGAAGGAATTAAGAAAAAAGAATTAATTGAGGTAGCAGAAGGGCTAGGAATTAAGCCTGAACAGATTCAAAATGAAACAACAGAAAAAGTTAGAGAAATAATCATCAAAAGAGTTAATGAATTAAAAAACAGTGAAAATAATCAAAAACCAAGCGGGCTTCCTGATGATTGACAAGATCAGTTAAACAGCATCACCGAATTAAAAAATAAAATCCAACAGGCCGAAAAATTTGGTTTAACAGACTGAGAAAATCTAGCCATCCAAACTCAAAATGAAACTCTGACTAGTTTGTTGGGCAGGCCAAAAAGAAGTGAGTTGGAGGAAGTAGAAAAAGAAAGGGATAACCGACCTAATATAACTAACGAAACCTGGAATGATTACAAGGACCGACCAACTTTAGACCAGTATAACAGTCGCCCTGATACTACCATTGAAGATTATGACAATAACAAAAGTGAATTGGACAAAGCCAATAAAAAGGTTCAAGATTATGAAAATGGTCTAAAAGATAAATTGAAACTAACTAATGATACTTTACCCAATTGAAGGGATGAGATAGATAAATTGAAAAATCGTCCTACTTCGGATAATTTTGACCAAATAAAAAATGACCTAGATACAGCCCAAAAAAGCTTAAAAGAGTGAGAGGATAGATTTGGAGACAAAACTGCTGAGCAGGTGAAGCAAGAAAATGAAAAGGCAAAAACTGTTGACGATTTACAAAAAGAACTGGATGATTTAAAATCTAAAGCAACAGACGCAACACTCATTAATGAAAAGCAGCAAAAAATTGATGAATTAATAAAAATTATAGAAAGACTAAATGAAGCGGTTAAAAAGTATGGTAAAGAATTGCACGGTCACACCGGAGACAAAAGTTGACAAAATGTGATTGTAGTGGACGTTTCAAAATTAAAGAACTAGACAATTATAATAACACCATGAAAGTAATTCCAGAAACTCTGATTGTAAAGGTAAAGGAAGAAATTATTCAAACTGATTTACCCAAACGGAATTAGGTGACAATGAGATTGCTAATTGGGAGGGAAGATTAAAAGAAAAAGACAACCAAATTATTCAATTAAAAAATATGAATAGTTTCGACTATTTAGACCAAGCATTCAGACTTATTCATAGCATCCTAAATAATTCCAAATTCTCAATCACACACTTTTTATCTATATTATAATTTTATACAATTTGGCTAATATATTAAAAAAGTTTCTTAACTCCATGGTCAAGTTTTTTTCTTAATCTTAACTCAATAAACAAAGAAAATTAATAAAGCATCCTTTTCATGCTCATTTAATTCTTGACCTTTAAAGTATCACACTTTTTTTGGTCTTCCTGTTTTACCTTTTATTTCTTTTAGTTCCAATCCTTTTATTCTTCCCTCTTTGGCTTCCTGTTCTCACTGAGGCATAAATCGATTAGAAATTAAATGGCATTCTATTCCTAACTGTAAAGATAAATACTCCAATAATCCGACTAATTTTATTAAAGCTGGCATTTCATAAGTATAGCCCGATTTCTTATAAAGATTAGTAGTTTCAATTAATAAAATCTCTGCTTGTTTGTTTTTCAGGTAATTTTCTATCTTTTTACCTTGTTCTAACCATTTTTTAGCTTCTATTGAAGATATTTCTCACTTGTTCCAGTTTTCAAAGTAAAAAAGACCACTTATAGAAGTTCCAGAAGGGTCAATACTTAGTATTCTTGGCATATAGAGGTTTTTTGTCCTTTTCCCTCCTTCTCCTTTTACTTCTTGGCTGTATTTCCTATTAGAGGAAAAATCTTTTTGGGTTCAGTTTAGTAAGCATAATTCTAGTTAGAAAGCAGAAACTTCGGCAAAGCCGAAAGTATTCTTAAATCTAACTAACTTTCCTTACTTCTTTTACCCAAACTATTTTCCATTTAGGAAAGGTTTCAGAAGGAAAGTGAAGGAGGTATAGGGCCGAAAAGAGAAGAGCAAATTTTTTACCAAAGGTAAATGATTTCTGTTTAGGTCTTGCTTATTCATAAGCAAAGTTTTCTTAAAATTAGGTTATATGACTAACAATAAAAATTCCTTAGCTTGCTTTGGTTGTAAGAAATATTTTTGTGAAGACAATTTAATTATTAATGCTAAGGGATTTTATTGTGAAGACTGCTATCATGAATAAAAAAGACATCCGTTATCAAAGACTAATTCCGGCCCAAGTTAAGATAATTATTTGAGGTCGAGCAGCTGGTAAATCTTACAATAAGAAATATCATTTATTAGAATACATTGAAAAAGAAAACAAAGAATTCATTTGATTAAGAAGACAGTTTGATAGTATTAGAACAGGTTCCTTAGAAAGCTGAAAGAAAGTCATTAATAAGTATTGTCAAGACAACCAAGTAAAAGAAAAAGACATAGAACTTGTTTGAGATGCTATTACCAGAGGAGTAAAATACAAGGGAGTAATGAAATGTTTTATGGTGGAATTATTTAGCTCCTATAAAGCCAGAGAAAACTACACTCAAACTATCTCGGAAATAGTTTTTGATGAAGCTATTATTAATCCTAAAACTGGTGAAGATTATTTAGAAGATGAAGAAGGCAAGATTAAAGAGTTAATTGGTTCAGCTTGAAGAGACAGAATTAATGATCCTCAACCAAAACTAACTTACATTGCTAATCCTTATGAAAGATTTAGACCATTTATGGCTAATTTTTTTACCTATCATTAGAAAACAATTAACCACCTTAAAGAAAAGAGTATTTGCCAATGAAATAGTTAACTTAGAAAACGAGCAAGGAGAATTATTAAGTTTATTTAAGCCTACTCCTTGTTTAAAAGAAAATGAGTGTAAATGTATTGATGAAAATTGTGTAGCTGTATGAAACAATTTCTTTGCCAAAGAAGAAGACTTAAAAATTACGGAATTCATAAATGGCTCAGCTCCTATTTTTATCTTTAATAATTGTATTCTTTACCAAGCTAAAAGAGGTTTCTTTTTCTTTGTCAATAAAGACAATAAAGAAATTAGTAATAAAGAGGAAATCAAAAATATTCCTGAATATTATGTGAATAATGAACAAAGATTAAACAGTCAACAAGAATATCAAGTGCCGATTGAAGAAAATTATTTACGGGAAGATTTGTTATGGAAATGGCAAAAAGATTTATTAAGGTTTTGTCCTGATGGAAGTAGGGAAATAATATTAGAATTTATGGGAAAAGGGAAAACTAAAATCTAAAATTCTTCCGAAGCTTTATTTTTTTTAATGAGGAAATAAATAATTATTCCGATTATTCCAACTATGGCTATTCCTCCTCCAATTACTCATGGAGATTTTCAATTAAAACCCTGTGAACCTTGTGGTGGTTTGCTCTCTCTCTCTCTCTCTCTCTCTGGTTCTTCTTGTTGCTTACATTCACAATTCTGTCCCTGACTAAACTTATTAGCCATTTTCTCTATTTCTTTTTTGCTTTTACCAACTGTTAAAGAGTTATTTGGTCAAGCATGAATTTCACCTTTATCTTTGTGGCAAGTCGGACACTTCCTAACCTTAAAATGTCAACCTTGTTGTTCTTCATCAGATAAGTCATTGCCTAGAAAAATTTCTACTCCTTGGCTATTACTACATTTACTACATCAAGCACTACCAAGAATATCATTCGGATGCTGTTTATTACCACAATCTAAACATTTATAATAGGAATAAGTTATCACTTTTCCATCTTGTTTAACAGGAATTCAAGTAGTTCCTCCCTCGACTTTACTGATATTGTAATAATCTTTTAAATATTGGTTCTGACTAGCTTCATAGCATTTATCACATAACCAAGTATTATTATTAGGAGAAGCATTTTGTTGAGAAAGACAATAACAAGTATCATTTCTTACTGGTTCTCCAATTCATAATCCAACCTTTTTATTACATTTTTGACAACGATTTCCGTTTTCTGACATATATTATTTTTTGGCTAATATATTAAAATCATTCGTCAAATTCTTTCTCTTTGAGGCTTCCTTCACTAGCTAGACCTTTCCAAGGACAATTATTACATTCTACTTTCATTTCTTTTAAAACTTCTTTGTTTTTAGTAGAGATAGGAGTTTCTTTTTCACAAGCAGGACAATAAACAGCAAATATTTTCATTAGTATTCAATCACTTTTAAAGGTTGTTCTTTTCCTGGATAAATATTTCCTTCTTCAATATAATTAAGGCTATTAGTTTTAAAACCTCCTTGGTGAAAATTATCATCGTGAATTAATTCTACCTTTCCTCCCTTATTTTTTTGTTTTCATTTGTAAAAAATATCCTTGCTCTCAAAAATATAAATGTTAGGGTGAGTTTCTTTAATTGTTGTCTTGTTTAAGTCTAAATGTTCTGAATTGATGGTAGCTCCAATTATTCCGTTAATTACTAGGTGAATGATTTTCATATAGAAATTTTAGTCTTCATAAGGATTAAGCTTTAATTCTTCTAAATCATAACCATATTGTTTTTTATACTTTTCCTTAGTTAGATTGATGCTGAATCAATTTTCAGGATTTTTTTGATTAGCAAAAGAAGAAAATTTAGCAAAGGCTTTTCTTCGGTAATCCATATACTTATAATGCCACTTCTCAATATGTCCTCCTGTGGCATCATCAGCAGGAATAAATGGCTCACAAGGAACATGAGCTGACTCATGAGATGCTACTTCTACAATATCCCTATTTGGCAAATAAAAAGTCTTTCGAGGAATAGAAATAGTATGAGTAGGAGGAAAATATCAGCCAGCACAAATATCACCTTCTATGAAAGCCGTTTCGGGATAATCAATGAAAGGAATAGTCCCTGAATATTCTTCATCATTGTTTAGTAAGTATTTGATTATCTCTTCAATAACTCCTCTAACTTCTTTTTCTCTTTTATTAGCAACAATATAATCTTTCTCTTTATAATCACAATCATCATATTTACATTGAAAATAAGCTGTTAATTGATAAGATTGCTGTTTTTTGCCACATTCAGGACATTCTTTATACTTAACTTCTCAATAATCTTTTAACACTCTTTTAATAATTCTTTACAATCAGCCAAAGCTTGGTATTTTTCCATATTTTCTGCTTGGTTATCTTTTATCTTTTCTAATTTTTTTTTTAATTCAGTAAGTAAAGGAGAAACAAAAGGGTAAGAGTAAGAAAGTTTTTCTCATTCTTCTAATAGTTCAGAACCAAGTTTTTGATAATCTTTTTTTCGACCAACTACTACACAATATCCCCCCTCCAATTTAGCTATCATATCAGAAAGTATTTTTTTTGATTCATTCTGACTTATTCTTTGTTCAGTTTGATTTATTTCTCGTAGTTTCATAATAGTATAAATATCTTTACTTTATTATTTAATTTTACAATTTTCTCCTAATATTATTCTCTTTCTTTTTTCTCCTTATCTCTTTGTTTTTGCTTTTCTCTTTGTTCTTTTCTAGCTCTTTCTCGTTCACGAACTCTGGATTCTCGTTCTTTTCTTTCTCTCTCCTTTTTATCTTTTTCTTGCTGACTTTCCTTTTGTTTTTTCTCCCTTTCAGCTTGGAGTTCTCTTTCTCTCTGTTTTTCTCTTTCTAAGTCTTTTTCCTTTTCTCGGTCTTTTTCTTTCTCTCTTTCTAGTTCTTGCTCAGCTTGTCGTTCTAGTTCCCTTTCTTTTTCCCTCTCTTTCTCTTTTTCGAGTTCTTTTTCAAAGTCTCGTTCCGTTTCACCTTGGCTTTCTTTAATATCTTTTTCTTTATCCTCAAACTCTTTGCCTTCGTATTCTTTTTCTTCTTCTATTTCAGGTAAAGCTTCGGGGTCAGTTTCTCCAATATTAGAGTTAAATTGAGTATTTTGGTCGTCCCAAATTGGTTCATTAGCTTCTTTCACAGCAAATTCTTTTTCTTTTTCAGCTTGAATTTTCTCAAACTTGTAATTAGTGACATACCTTCCTTCGGTTTTACTTCCTAATCACATAATTAAGTTAGTATTATTATCACCTAAAACTAAGGTAAATCCATTAGCACGAATATTAGGGAATTTTTGAATAGAAGAGCAGTGTCAAATAACATTATAATCTCCTTCGGGTAAATCATAGTCTTTTTCCCAAGATAAACCTGCTTTTAGATTTCAGCCTGTCGAACTGGCTGCTGCTGTTCCAGGATTAACACTATTAGCATTCATATCATCAGCACATAACTCACTGAAATAGTCTTTATTTGGATTGTCTACGGGAAATATTCCCATGTGTCCTGAACTACCTCATCATTTATATCCTCTAATAGCATCGGAACTACTATTGTCAGAAGAGTTATTTTTGCTACATCCATCCCAACCACCAATCATGGAACAAACTCACACGGCACTATTAGCTGGGACTTCTTGTTTGGTTTCTCTTTTGTCTTCTCCTGGAATAAATTCGGTATCCTCTTCACCAATAGCCGTAGCACTATTAAAAGTATCTCCATGAGTAAAAGATTGTAAACCTTTATATTTTGGTCTTCATGGCTGAAATAATTTATCTAGGTCATCATAAAAGAAAGTTCCTGCTCCACAAGCTCCTTTCATAGCATTATTAATGTCAAAAAATAATTCAATATTACCTTGTCAAGGTCCAACTTTGATACACTGTTTAAAAGCTGAAAAAGAACACTGAATATTTTGGATCGGACTTCGAGCCTTTTCCGTATTATTTAAGAGATTATTGTATAAAACCTCTGAATGTTCGAACCTAATCATAAAAGGATTAGCTACACAACGATTAGCAAATTCTCAAAAGTCATAATCAAAATCCACTGTATTGCTGTAAAAAATAGAAGGTTCAACTATTCGGTGTTGACTTTTAGCTGTGGAAGCTTTTTGTCTTTTAGTTTGTTGTTCATTTTCCGATTGATCTTTATTTTGAGTTTGTTTATCTTCGGTTTTAGCTCCTAACAATTCCCCATACTTTTTGCCAGTAATAATATCAGCTACCGAAGGAGTTCCCGTAGTTTTTTTATCTCCTTCTACTGTTTCTCCTGCTGTTTTAAAGAGACCACCGACAAAAGGGATTTTACTTCCCATTTTTAGTAATGTTCCCCCAGCTTTTTTTAAGAAACCACCAACCACGGAACCAATTAACTGATTTAAAAAATTGGTATCGGAGATAGAACCTTTAACTTTTAATTCTCACTTGTAAAAAATATCTCGGCTTTCGAAGCAATACAATATTCCTGCTATACTACTTCGAATTAATATTCGATAACCTAATTGAAAGCCTGGACTTTTTCTTTTAACTAATAAATGCTTTAAATTGGCTGTAAATAATAACTTTTTCTGAAAGTAAAATTGAGCTGAACTGTGATTTAATAAATGAGGCTGTTCGTGATAACATTTAGGTAATTCCTCCCAAATGTATTTAGTTTTATCCTCAGGCACTCGTCGAGGGTCAGCTGTTGGCACTCCTGCTCCGTCTTTGCCTCGATGTTGTTTGTCAACTATAAAAAGCAAAGAAGGAATTTTAACATCACTCATAATACTATCAGTGCTAATTCCAGGATGTCATTCTTGTAATTCAATGTTCGAAGGAACCGAACAAACTAATTTCGGTGGGTCTCCATCATCCGTAATACTTTGAACCGAAACCTTTCTTAATCCTGTATTAAACAAATCCTTGGGAAAAACAGTATAAAGCAATTTAAAATCAGGTTGTCATTTGGCTACTTTTCCTTGGGTATTATAACCAATCGAACAAGCTTTTTTATTTCGTAAGTCTCCACAAAAATCAAAACAATTATCACAAGCAGGACAGTTATTATCTCCTGTATTTTCATCTCCACTAGCATCTTTTCAATCTTCGTCATTAGGTCAATGTTCGGCTGAACTAGTAATAATTTTTCCTTCTTTATTTAAATGGTCGTTATTAATTTGAGAAGAAGTAATATTAGCTATACCTTTGCTATTCATCATATCCCCATAATTAGCTCAAATTGGGTCTTTTTCAGCTGTGATTTGGCAATAGAGATTTTTATTGTTAATATAATCTCAACTAGTTATTCAATAAAGATTAGGATACTCAATTCCTTTTCTCCCTGCTCGTTCTTGTCTAGCTTTTCCTTCCTTATCAGCCGTATTTCTCCCAAAAAAGATAACTGTGTCAGGTCGGATAAAGTCTAATTGCTTTTTATTTTGAAAGATGATAGTTAATTGATTATTTTTGTTCCGAACAATAAAATATTCTTGCTTATCTAAGGTTCCTCAAACATTTTCCAAGAAGTCTTTTTTTATCTCAACAAATTTATTAGGAGTGGGTAGAAATTTATAGTCTTTTTGTCATCATTTTCAGCCTGTATAAATAACTAAATCACGATAATCAGGATTTTCTTTTTTCTTTCCTTTGTTAACTGTTCCTCCTCTTTCATCGATTCTATCTTCAAAAAGTCAAGGTCCTTCTCAAAATCTTTTTCTGGTTCGAATGTCCTTTAAAGTTATTAAGTTTTGGTTAGTAGTTTGTAAGACTTTTTTGTTAACTTGGTTCATGTAGATTAGTTTCCCAATCTACTTTATTATTAAATTTTAAGTATTTTAGTGATATTTTCACTTACTATTACTCCCAATTAGCTGGTAAACTATCCTGGTATTCTTCTCTTAATTTTTCATCATCACCATAATTTAATACTCAATCAGGACTAACTTTCTTTTTATCTCTTAACCAAGTAGCATAATCAAATTCATAAGATTTTAGACCAATATTTATTCATTCTTTAACTTCGGCATAATTAAATCCTGCTTTTGTTCACTGTTCTTTTAAAGTTTCTCCTCGGGTATTTTTCCTCGTGGTTTCTAATTGAGGATGGAAGTCTTCGTGGATATTAAATCAGTCTTTATTGTCATCTTTTAGAGGTTGTTTTTTTGGTTGTTCATACTTGCTTGGTCTAGTAGTTTCTTCGGGCTTTTTATAGCCTCTTTCAGTTCAGTTTAAGATTAGTTCTTTGTATTCTTCGGGGATTTTGGTTTCTTCTCTTTCGTTTATTCCTAAATAGACTTGGTTTCCTTGACTATTTTGTAAGCAATTCAGAAAGTTATTTAAGCAATTTCAATCATCAGAAGGCTGTTGCTTGTAATCTTTTCCGAAACTACTCCCTAACTCCATCTCCATCACTAAAAAGATAGTTTTGCCACAACATGGGCATTTAGTATATATTCTCATAATTTTATACTTCCTTCACGGGTTCTCCTCCTCATCAATATTCTTCGGGTCAATCTTCCACAAAAGGTTTTCCTGTTTCAATGTCTTTTCCGGTAATGATTTCTTTCAAAACTATTTCCTTTTCTTCATCATCAGGGTCTTTAATAGTTCTCTTTTCAATTCCGATTCTTTTGGTTAAGGTTAAATGTCTTGCTTCTTCATTAATATGGTAGGTTAGTTTAATTATTCCACTTTCTTTTTTCTTATAATCTTCTATTGGGGTTTCATAAATCTCATCATAATCAGCTAAATCCTCTAATTCTCCACTTAATCCTTTGACTTCTAATCCTACTAAAAATAACATTACCTTCTGTAAATTATTCATTCCTCCTCGGATACCCCAAGTTTCAGTAATACACATCTCTAAAAACTTCTCACTAATTCTATCTCGTAATTTAGCAATTCCATAAGTTCGACAGTAGATAGTGGAAATAATACTTAAAATCTTTTTCCTTTGTTCTCAGGTTAAGAGTTCAATGTTCACTGGTTCTCCTCTGTCTTGGACAAACTGAGGCACTTTTTCTAACCAATTGGCCGTTAAAAGAATTATGGCTTGACTAATATCCAAATTAAAGTTAAAGTATTTATCTAGGAAAGTATAATTTAACTCTCGATCAGCAATCTTCCCAATTACATTTAAAATATCTTCCCGAGAAGCTTTTTCGAATTCGTCTAGTAAAATAACAGGACTTCGGCTTCGATAAGCTTTTTTCTTGGTTTTTCTAATGTCTTTATTTTCATTTTGCCTTCGTTCATTATCAGCTTTTCAGTCAGCTATTTCTTCTTCTAACTTCTCAATTCTTTCTTCTTCTCATTCCGTAATAGTTTGGGGTTTTCTTTCTACCTCAATTACTTTCTGATCATCAGTTCCTTCATTAATAACTTCTTTTCTAGTCTTAATTTCTTGGATTTCTCTTTCTAAGTCTTCAATAGTAATTTCAGCCAAAAAACTCCTTTCCACAAAAGCTTCCATCATTTTTCCGTAATTGGCAGATTGTAAGGTTGCCCTTTTGCCTTCTAATTCTCCTCCGTCGTCCATTCCTCCGACATTGATAATTTGGATCGGTCTTTTTAAGGCTTGGGCTAGTCTTTGAGAGATTTCACTTTTTCCTACTCCTGGCTTGCCTAATAAAACATAAAAGATTTGGGGTAATCTTACTCCTTGCTTCCGAAAATGTTCAGCTGTTTGTAAAGCCTCATGTCAAGTGCTTTTAAATTCGTTAAAACCAATCACTCTCCCTTCTCAATCAGGAGGAGTTCCCATGATTTTCTCAAATTCACTTAAAGGAGGTCAATAAGGTTCTCGGTAAAAAGTATCTAATAAAGTTTCACAGAGTTCTAATCGGGCTTGGTCGGTTTCATCTTTGTTGGATTTCTTGTCAATTCGTTTTTTATATCGATACAATCTCTCTAAATACCAAGTAGGCATAATTGGTTGCTCTTGTTCGTTATAGATTTCTTGCCATTCGTCAAAAGATAAATCAGCATCCGTGTCTTTCACTCTCGGAAGTTTGGTTTTTCCTTTCTTTTCTTCTTCCCTCTGTTTAATTTCTTCTCGGGTGATATAATCTCAACTTCAAGTTTGAGAATTGAATACAAATTCTCCTTGGGGAATTCAGACTGTATGGAATAAATAAGAAAAGTCAGTCAAGTCTTCTAAATCACTTTCCACTAAACTATAACTAGGTATTATCCGAGCTAACTGCTGAATAAGAATAGGTTGCTCTTGGGTGTAAATAGTTTTGTCAATAATGCCATGGTCAGTTTCTTTACTATCCTCTTTGGTTCGGTCGGTTTTGTGAGAATAATCTTTGTTTCGGCTTTTGCCTGTTCGTTTATTTCAATTGGGATTGATAATTTTGTTGGGCTTGTTATCTTCTCCTAGAACTGGGTTGCCATCTTTATCTTTTTCTATGCCAATATAACCAGTGTCAACATTGGTTTCCGTAGCTAACCAATCAGCTCGTCCTTGATATTCTCCTGGGGTAATTGAACCATATTCACCACCTAATAAGTCAATGGTTTGGTAAGGTCGTTCTTTGTTAGTTATTCGTTGACTATCTCTTCTTTCTTCTTTATCAAAAGTATTAGTATTAATAGTCCTATCAAAATCACCTGTAATATTCTTGTTAGCATCATAATATTTAGTTCGATCATCTCGGATATATTCGGTAGTTTTTAACTCCACTAACCTATTTAACTCTAAACTAACATGAGCAAAAATATTATTCCACAATCTTTCTCTTTTTTGGAGAGTAAAAAATCGAGCTACTATGCCACTTCATAATTTTGATAAAAAGATTTCAGACTGGTTATAATGAATATTCAGCTTTCATCTATCGTAAACACAGTAAACAAAAACATAAAAAAGAGCTTCCTCCTCATTATCATTAATTAAATTAGCCTTTTCTACTACTTTCCGTGCTTCATTATAAAAATCTTCAAATTCGGGAAAGTGGTGAAGAATAGTTTTTTGTTCTAAAAGTAAATCAGTAGTCATAATAGTTTAAAAATATTTCTTGTCTCTGGGACAATAACAGTCAAATTCAGGAGTGTTTATATCTCATCTATCCCTTCCTGAGCTAAATCGAGGACAATAAAAGTTCTCTTTTTTAGCTCGGGCATAAGAACAATAAGAACATAATCGGCTAATATCTCGGCTATCTCTTTTATCAGGCATGTTTTTTACATGGGCATAGATGGGTTGACCTTCTTTTTGTTTATGGCAAAATTCACAGGTAAAAGTTGAAGGCTGAGGTTGGGCTTTTTTAGCTGTCTGTTCCATTTTATCCACACATTCTAAACAATATTCTTTTCCGTCAGGAGTTTTTAATTGGAGAAATTCCGTGCTTCATTCTAATTGGCAATTAGCACAAGTAAATAATTGTTCTTTATTTTCCATGATTGTTTAATCCTTCCTTTAATTCAGCTACTTGTTTTTGTAATTCAGCAATATCCCTTTTCTCTTTACCATTTACTCGTTCTACTTCGGCTAATTCTTTTTTGATAGCTTGATTTTCTTTTTTTAGTTTGATTTGGTCTTTTTTCATTGATATCGTATAACCAGCAAAAATAGCTAGGGAGATAACATTAGCTACTATTGCCGTTAGGGCTAATTTTCCTAAAAATAAAGCAATTTCACAACATCCTACCATAATATTATCCTCCTATCTTTCCGTATTTGAAGTTATAACTCCCTTTTCCTTCTTCAAATATTCGGTTATATTCTTTAATAGATTTCAGTAGTAATCGGTAAATCTTTTTCTCATTAGCATCAAAATTGGCTTGACTAGAAAAGACTTCACTGACACTGGCTCTTTCTTCTTTTTCTTGTAAAGTATCATGCCTTATTCCGTAAGCTCTTTCCATATTAGTCCAAACAAACTTAAAATCCCTAATCATATAAGCTCTTTGGTCAGTAGTAGGTTCATGTAATTCAGCCTTAATTTGGTGAGGAGCAATTCCCATTTTTCCTTCCTTGGGATTAGCTTTCTGGGATTTAGGTAAACACATAAAAAAGAAAGGTCTTTTTTCAAAACTTTTAGTTAATAGCTTAACATCTCCATCATCAGGTCATTCAGGTAAGGTAAACCGAATACCTCGTTCACTAATCACTAAATCTCGTTCCATTTTGTTTAGTAAGTTAGCTAATCGTTTAGTTCAAAATTCTATTCCTGCTAAATGAGAAGTCCCTTTTTTATTAAACCTGAAAATGACATACTTTTCTACTTCTTTACCATCTAAAACTTCTTGACTGTTATCTAATAATTGAAATTCTAAATTAATGGGTTCTTTTAGTAAGTTTTCTTTGACTTTTTCTTCTTTTTCTTGACTGGCTTTATTTTTAGGGATAGCTAAAAATTTTTCTTTGGTATCAGGATATTCAATAATAGCAATCTCTCCTCGGGTAATAGCTTCTTCAATTATTTCGTCAAAATATTCTAACAAAGAACCTTCACCTGTTAAATGAGCATTACCAATCAAGCAATTAGTCAGGTAATTTTTGGTTTGATTAATAAAAGTAGAATAATCACTTTCTACCGAAGATAAATCGAACATTTCTTTGGTTATTTTGCCGTCTCAATTATTTGTCATAGTTATTTCTTTTTCTTTTTTCTTGGTTTACTTTTGTCATCATCATTTTTTTCCTGTCTCGGAATTATCGTCTCTCTCTCTCTCTCTCTCTGCTATTTGTTGTAAAAGAGAGTAGAGGCCATTAAAATCAATAGTTTCATAATCCTTAGCACTTGGGTCAAAAAGAAGGTTAATTTGTCTTAATTGGTTTTGATTATTACTTTCAGTTTCTAATAATTCACTTTCTTTTTCTCCTACTGTCTTTAATAAGTCTCCTTTATCTAACTTCAAGGCTCTAATTTCTTGGTCTTTATCTTTCTCTTTTTCTCTTAATTTGGCTAGTTCTTTTTCTAAATTAGGAAAAGTTTGGGAGTAATAGTCAACTGTATTCTGTAATTGTTCGATATCTGTTTTAGATAATTCGGTTTGAGTTTCCTTGTCTCCTCTGGTTCGGAATAGGTATTTTTCTAAATTCTTAACCTTTTGGATTTCTTTATTCAGAGTTAAGTTCAATTTTTCCTTATCCTGATTTCACTTGGTTTCTAATTCAGTTAATAATCTTTCAGCCTCTTTTTTACCTTTTAGTTTTTGTTTGGCTAAATTAAGTAATTGAGTTTCCAAAGCATTAATTTTTGTTTGGTAAGCCTGATTGTATTCTTTAACCTGAATTAATTCCTCATTAATTTCTTGGTAGTCTTGGCCAGTTTGGGCTAATTGCTCTTTTAATTGGTTATTTTCAGTTTGGAGGAGTTTGTTTTCTTGTTCTAACTTCCTCCTAATAACTGGTTTAGTCAAAATCCCTGAACTTTGCCGAGCCTTATTCCATCATTCACCATAGTAGTTCATAAGCACATATTATTATTTCTTCTTTCAAGCCAAGGCATTAAAAGCTGTAATAAATCCTCCGTGAATAACAGGGTTTAAGAAAAATCATTGATTACCATTTTCAGGTTCTTCTTTATAACGGAAGCCTTTATTATCTTTGCCTTTTTCGTTTTTTCTCCTTCGGTAAAGTTGTAAGCATCTTTCATCAAAGACTAACATACCATAACCATTTGGTAAATTATCTTCAAGCACATTTTCTTTCCCAAATCTTTTTTCTAAATCTAAGGCTGGAAAGTTAACGTTTTCCGAATAGCCACCGATATCAATGGTATTTTTCACGGAACTGTCTAAAAGACAAATCATTTTTTTATAACTCCGAATTTTAGTTTCCATCGGTTCATAACCTTTGGTTTTGTCGTCGGGGTCCTTTTGATAACCTTTGTTGAAGTTCTTGCTTTTCTTTTTTAAAATAGAAGAACCATTAAATAAGGCTTGTAAGATTTTAATCGGGTCTTTTCAAAAGTCTTCGTCTTCTTCGTATAAATTACCTTTTTTGGTAGTGTCATCATAAGCAACAAAATTATCATCATTACAGATTAATTGAGGTATCTTTTCCTCTAATCTTAATTCAATATTTTCAGCTGTTTGTTCGATTAAGGTGTTGGTAAAATCTTTACAAGCTGCTTCACTCTCCAAAGCTTCCACAAATCTTTCTTCATTGGTTAATTCATATTCCACGGTATCCATTAATCTTGGTAAATGGAAAGGAATACAATTGACTTCTCTTTTGAAGTCATTGCCTTTATGAATAGATAAATCAGGTCTTCAATCAGGTCCGTTTTTAGGTCAAGTAAGTAAGAAACGAACTGCTCGTCCGTCTACTTCAATGTTGCTAGTTCGGAAGAAACGAACCCAGACATTATCTTCATCCGTTTCTAACATCTTAAAAGTTCGGTCGTAGCAAACTTTATTTTCTAATACTTTTAAATAGTCGTTTTTTTCAATTGTCATATATTTAGGTTGGATTTCCAATCTAACTTTTTAACAATCTACTTTATTATATATTTTTACACCAATCTACTTTTTTTATTTGCTCAGCTGAACAAATCCGACCTTACCTTTTTAATTTGTAAGGCCCAGAAGTAGATTGGAAAAAACTGGGCCAAATATTATTTACCAAACAAAACATTTAATAAATTGTTCTGCTCTCTTTGGGTTTTTCTTTCTAATTCTTTTTCTCTTAAACCTTCCAGAGTTTTCTTTTCTAATTTTTCTTTTAACTTCACATTTTCCTCTTCAATATCTATTCTTTTTTGCTTTTCTCTTAAATAAGCTTTGGAATTATCATCAGCCAATTTTAAGGCATCTTTTCACTTGGTTTCTAATTGTTGAGTAGTTTTTTCAATTTCCTCCACTTTGGAAGTTTCGTTTAGTTCTTGATTTTCGTTATTCATATTATTTTTTCTCTCTAATTAATTCTTTATAGGTATTGTGGCTCTTGCCAATTAGTTTGATTTTCTGGTCATTCTCCACTAATCAAATTTCTTGAATAGTTTCGGTGATTTTCTCTCTTTTGCTGTTTTTGTCTTTTCAAAAGTCATTAATAGTTAAAGGTTTTTCCGTCACAGTTTTTTGGCTATATATTATTGTTTTAAGTAGTTTGGAGAGAAGGGATTACAGCCTTTTAACAGCTAATATATTAGGTAGCAAAAAAAGGCTTTTTAACTATTTTTTTCTAATCACTTTTCCGTAAGCTTTTTTTCTTTTTCATAGTTTTTGATTTCTTTTTCGTTTTGGTCTAGTTTTCTTTGTAAAAATTTCCGTTGAGAATTAAGTTTATAAAGTTGGTTATTCACAAAACGGACATATTCTTTCTTTTGTTTGATTTCTAATTTCTTTTTTTCTTCTTTAACCATAAATTAAGTTATTTTTTGCTTCTTAAATTGACATAAAATCCCTTTTTCTAACAAGAATGCTTCCATTTCCTTTACTGTTTCAAATTTCCATCATCATTTACTAGCTTTATTTCTTTCTCAATTATAACGAATTCCAGTTTGGTGAAAGGAACCTAAACCAATCACATATTTACCTTGGCTTTGGATTTCTCCGATTTTTTGTTTAGTTTGGTTAAATAAAAGACCATTAGAAGGTAATTCTTTAATCAGAATGTAAATGTGTCCTCCTCGTTTAGTGTTAATTCAAGCTATTCCTAATTCTCAAATTTGCTGACCTCAATAATTCCTGTCTAAATCTAAAACAATAAAAAAACAATCATTACCTAATCTTTTGCCTGTTCGTAAAGCATAAGTTTGATATTGAGCTAGTAATTGTTTAATAGTTCTTTTTTCTTTGTGATAATTACCATTATAATTATTTCAATTCTTTACCAGAGCTTTTTTAAATTGATTAACTGGTAAACGAATATAATCTCGGTCAAAATACTTTAAGAATTGTTTATCACTGGTTTTTAAGAAGGCTTTCATGCGTGTATGTATATTATTAGGAAAAAGGTTAAGTCCCATTTTAAATATCTCTAAGGGAAGAACATGCTTAACTTCTTTATTAAGATAAAAAAAATGTCCTGCTGGACATACAAAAAATATAATATAAGTTGAACATGCCATAGGTATTTCGGTCTTACGACTTTCTAGGTCTCCCATGAACCCCTCTGCTTTACCATTTTAAAAAGTTGGGTAGCAGTTGCTAGTTATTATTGCTAATACTTGGCAATCTAGGATTAAACCTAGTTTTTGTTTAACTTTGTTGTCTTTTTCCGATTTCTTTAAGGTCTAATCGTAAAGACCTTTTTTAATTAGTTTCAGCCTTTCACAACCGACTGTAATCCTGATAAATATAATCAAAATCATTGTGAATGTATTTCTCGGTAGTGGTAATACTTTCATGACCTAATAACATTTGAATAGTAGTTAATTGAGCTTTCTTATTATGTAAGTGAGTAGCAAAACTCCTTCTGAAAGAATGAGGAGTAATCGGTTTATCAATTCCAGCTTTCTTTAATCGTTGTTGAATAATTTGTCTAATTACTAAGGGTGAAAGAGGTTGTTTCTTTTGATTAGTAAAAAGATAGTCATTAGAATTAGGATTAAATTGCTTAGCCAAAAAAGGAGGTAAAAGCACGGATCTAATCTTGTTGCCTTTTCCTCATACTTGTAAACTTTTGCCTTGCCAATCAGAATGCTTAATATTCACTAATTCACTAACTCTTAAACCAGAATAAAAAAGAAAATCAAAGATTAGATTATTTCGTTGATAAGTCTTGGGATTTCTTTCGGCTTGGGCTTGTTTTAACTGCTCCAATTCTTGGGGAGTAAGAATATCAAAAAATTTTCTCCCCATTTTGGGAATAATGCCATTTATTCTTTCTCACTCAATTTCTATTCGGTTAAATTTAGCATAAGAAGAAAGAGCTTGCCGAAAGATTTTTAAAGTATTGGGTTGGTATTTAGTGAGGTTAGTTTTTAAGTAAGAACGAATATTGTCCGTGCTAATGGTTGGTATTTGCTGAAAAAAATACTGTAAAGCTTGGGTATAAATATTAATTGTGTTCAGACTTCGATTTCTATCTTTTAATCAATTAATATAAGGGTTTAAATTAAGGTTATTCATATTATTTTGCTTGGTTTCTTTCTTTCTCAATGGTTTGTTGACAATTATCACAAATTCAACCTTTATCAATGGTGACGGCTCCTAATTTAAGGATGTGTTGACCAATAGCTATCTTCTGACAGTTAGGATAATTGTATTGGCATTGTTTTTGGTTAATTTTCTTGTTCATAATGTTATTTGTTTCGGTATTTTCACTTACCATTAACTTTTTCTATGATGTCTAAGTAGGTAAAAGTTAATTCAACAATTTCCTGCTTAGGACAATCTTGTTGGTAATAAATAGTCAAGTTATCGTCTCGGGACTGCTTATAAAAAGCTCTAATTTTACTCTCATAAATGGTAAAAGTAATTCAATGAGTTGGATTATCAATTGTAAAACCTTGTCCGTTAAATTGAGTAGTAAAGGTATCTGTGAGTAGCTGATTGTTAAATCAGCATTCATTAGTTAGGTAGTTATATTTGAATTGGGTCATATTATTTGGGTTCATTTTCTTTAAATTCTGATTGATTGTCATTGGTTATTTGGTCATCATTGGAAAGAGAGATTGCTCTCTCTCTCTCTCTTGTAGTTCATGGAAAGTCAAATCTACTCCTAAAAAGTTTCGATTAGTTTCCTTACAAGCTTTTAAAACAATAAAACTTCCAGCACACGGATCAACGATTAAATCTCCTTCGTGGGTAGTAGCTTCAATTAAACTTCTTAACAAGAAAAAAGGTTTTTGGTGAGGATGTTTTCTCTGTTTATCTGAAACACTGCCTTCCTTTCAAATATTAGGAAATGCTCGGTTAGTAAACTTTTTCGAGTTAGTCGGTGTTTTCTGTAATAAAAAAGCAAATTCTCCTTTATTTCGGAAATAAGCTCCAAAACCAAAATGTTCTTTACTTCACACTAACAAATCCACTATTTTTAATTTAGAGGCTTGTAATAACCAAGTATTTACTCGATCTGTTTTTAAGATTTCTTTGTTAATTCATAAGAGGCAAAAAGCACTGGGCTTTAATACTCGGCTAATCTCTTTAAGAAGGTTAATAATTTGGTATTCACTTTGATAATGTAAGGGTCAGTCTTTAACTCTTGATACATCCCCCACTTTTTCATATTGAGGGTCAAAGAATACTAAACTAACACTTTTGTCTGTAATAGTAGTTAATAATTCTAGTGCTTCTCCCTGTTGTTTTACATTAGGTAAATATTTTATTTGTTTTTCATTCATACTTTTATAATTCCGTTCATTTTCTTTCCGAACATCTTTCACACTGGTCTTTTAGTTTAAAAAATCTTTTTCATTCTATTTTCTTTTGGCAATCTACACAAAATCGATTAGCTAAGTAATAGAGCAAGCAAAAATTAAAGACAGTGTTCAAAATGGTTAAGATTAAAATAGTTAAAATTGTTCCGTTCATATTTATTGTTTCCTTTCCTCTCTATCTTTATTCCCACAATCCGAACAAAGATGACCAGCTTTGATTATTATTCCACATTCTCAACATTTAGGTATTTCAGGACAGGTTTCATGCTCAATGCTTCTAATTCAAATAGTAAACTGATAACCTGTTCTTCCAAAAGGAAAATAATAAGTAGTATCTTTTAAATCTTCCATGGGAATTAAACTGACATCATTAGTAGTGTCAAATCAGAGGTCAAAATTTCTATCGTTAATATCTTGCTCAGTAAACTTTTGCTGACATTGAGAACATTCTTTACCTTCTAATTGGAGACTAAGATTAGTCCCTTTAATTTGGTTAGTTGCTCCCATGATTAATTTCCTTTCAATCCACCAAAGCTCAACCTCGGCTATTTTTTTCACAATAAAAAAGATATCTTTTATCAATATAATTAGCTTCTTCAATATCTTTTCAAACTTGTTCTTTTTCTATCTTATCTTTAAAAGCAAAAATTATCTTAACTTCTTTATTTTCAATAATTACATTTAGTCGATAAAAGTAAGTGCCAGCTCACTTGCCTGTATAAACTTTTTCCTTGTCTTCTTTATCCCTAATCCGACCAATTAACTCGTGAATTCTTTTCTCGTTCATAATTAAAAAAACCTCCTTTCAATAAGCTGGTAAGAATAGGCTGTAAAACTTGGTCGAGTTTGGTTATATTTCGGGTCAGGATGTTTAAAGTTTCCTTGGACTTCAATTAAAGAACCTGTTTTAATCTTCGGTCTAATTCAGCTATTATTTTCCTTTATTCTAAAAAAAACGGGGATATCTTCGGCTTGGTTATCTACTTTTAAGAATACTCGGGCTGGATAAGGATATTGTCCGTCAGTTTTCTTAGCTTTATGGGCTTGATTAATTTGGGAAGTAGTTATCCCTTTTAAAGTTGTTAATTTGTTGTTTAAAGTTTCTTTTTCTGTCATATGGATTTAGCATATAGACAAAAAGTGAAGTTTGAAACTATCTATATTAAAAAATAAAGTTAAAGAATTAAAAGCAACTGACGTAAAACTCATTGGTGAACAACAGCAGAAAATTAATGAACAGGGCAGACTAGTGAAACAAAAAGAAGCGTTGCTATTAATTTTTGAAAATCAGAAATCAACTGAACAATATGCCCAAATTCTAGCAGATATTAATAATATCAAATAGCAGAAAAGCAATATAGAGAAAAAATTAAAAATCTCACTATAAAAAAATAATATGGTACAAATAGAAGCACAAGCATTTATAAATGCGAATTTCGACAAAAAGAACGCAAAAACAATAACAAATAAAGAATTAGTAAATAAATTAGCAACAACATTAGCCTCACCAGGTGGATTAAAAGGAAAGTTAGAACTTAAAGGTTGAGAAAATTTAGAAGAAGTCGAGATAAGTGATGATGAACAAATTACTGATGGTTTAGACAATGATTTAACAGAATTAACTATTATTAATTGTCCAAAACTGAAAAAAATTAATGTTAAAGAAAACAAACTTACTAAATTGGATATTACTAAAGCAAAAACAGTTGGCAATCAAGATGATGGCGACCCTGCTCCGGCAACTAATTTAAATAACTTAGTAATAACAGGCAATTCAGACCTTGAAGAATTTTCAGTGGAAAATTGTCCAGATCTAAAAAGCGTTCTCGCTGCGGGGTGTCCTAAACTCAAAAAAGTTCCAGGATTGGACAAGGCAAAAAAACTTGGTAATGCTTCTTTTGATGGAGACATAATGAGTTTAATCATTAGGGAGAAGTTAAGTAATTTTGAAAATATTACAAGAGCAGTTGGAGACATACTAGGCCTAGGTTCTGACGAAGATCAGATTTTAAATGCCATTGGTAATCTTCCTTCTCAAGATTTAAAGAATAGAATGGTGGTAGTTACCACTCCACAATTACAAACTGCCAAAGAAAATGCTGAAAAAGAACGTGACGCTGCCAGGGCTGAGTTAGAAAGCATTAAAACTGAACGAGACCAATTAAAACAACAATTAGCAGAGGTAAAAAATGAATTAAATCTGGAGGAAAATACCACCCAGCAGCAAATTTTAGACCAAATTAAAGAGTTAATGAAGAGACCAACAAGCAGTTGTTCCCATACTGATTATGATTCCATTAAATCTGAAAGAGATAGTTTGCAAAGCCAAGTAAATAACTTACAAAGTGAGAATAACCAATTAAAAGATGAAAATAAAGAGAATGCTGGAATGACTAAAGAGGCTCTGTTCGAATCAACCAAAAATCATTTCGGAAAACTAGGAGTAAAAGTTCTTGATGATTCAAAATTACAAAATGCTGCCACCGCCCACAATGTTGAAAATATTAGAAACGAAATAATTAGTAGTGAATTTAATAAATTAAAAGACGAGAGGAATAGCGCTCACTATCTCAATTTAGGTTTAGGAGCCATAGCACTCGGCAGTTTAATATTTATTGCTTGAATGGTTATGAGACAAAATAATAACCTGTTGAAAACGGAACCCGAAAAGAAAAAAGAGTAATAGAAAGGAGGGGGGCTAGGTCCATTCCTCCTCCCAAAATAAAGATATAATAAAAAGGGAACCTTAGCGGTTCCCCTAATAATTGAGGATTTATCTTGAATTATTAGTGTTTTTGTTTAATTATCTCTCAAATTTCAGTGAATAATTCTTCTTGGTTTTTTTGTTCGACTCAATATCTAAAACAAAAGTTTAAAGTCAGGATAAGAAATATTAGTGGTATTTCACCAAATTTCAACCAATTTAGCAATAGGAAGTTTGCCTCTAACTCCTTGATAAATCAAAGTGCTATCAATATAACAGTCAATTAGCGCGGTTTTGCCTGCTTCCAATTACTATAAATATGCTCTGTTATTGTATTAAAATACACTATATATAGTTCATGAGAATTAAGCCCATACTGCTTTATCAGTATGAAAGGACACACCAAACCACTCGGGGCTATATAATTAGAATAAAAATGAAACTACAAAGATTATCAGGAATAAATAAAAAAGAGTTCCCGCAGGATTATAAATTTAATTGAATTGCCTATAATTTAGAAAATAACAGCGAACGAGTCTTGTTTGATAACCATCATGGTAAATTGCCTCATTTTCATATTGACAAAGATAAAAAAGGCATTTTCTTTACCTGATCATCACGCCAAGGGTCAGAGTTCTTATCTTGAGAAAAGGTTGCCGAGAAATTTGGAAATCTAAAACAGCAAATATTGTAAATACTATGAAATCACCAAAAAATAACAAAACTTTCATTATTCAATATGACCCCACTGAAACCCCACAAAAATAGACTACTCCTGCTTAAAATCTTCTTTTTTTAAATTACTGATTGAAGTCTTAATTAATAATACCTTTTCGTGGTGTTTAATAGTGGGATAAAAAGGGGCAATTGCTATTATTTTATCATTATTCTTTATTATATTACTGAGTATATTAGGGTTATCGTCTATTACTATTTCACAATCAGGAACATTTTTGCTAATCCATTCTCCTTTCGTTTGGCCTTGTCCTTCACTATCAAAGCCTATCAAGTTTAACGAACAATTGGGAAATTTACCAAAAGTTTCATTAAATATTTTCTTTTTTCGCGGGTCTCCATCCGAAAAAGCCCTTTTATCGTAAGCAGAAAGAAAAATCACTTCTACTTTATTTTCTTTTACCAATTTTAATAATTCTTTGGCCAAAGTAAGAAACGGAGAATGCTCGTAAAAGTCCGGTTCGTTTTTTATTTTATCAACTTTATCTTTAATACTTCTCACACCAAGCCCATAGCCAATGCCTTTTTCAGTCCTCGTTGGCAGACAACTTTTTACCATACTTTTATCGGTATAAATGGAATGACTGCCATAATCAGAAAAGTAAATTGGAGCATTAGGTCAAAAATCGCGAAAAAATTCTTCAAATTTGGTTCCATTTGGTTTTCACCAAGGGGCGTCATAATAGGCTCCCTCTCGTTCGGATAATTCGTAATATACTTTCGGTTCGAGGGGTTGAATTACTTCATCTCAATCACAGACCACTTTCAATTTTTTAGGAGCATTTTTAAAGTATTCGTAAAGGCAGTTAATCACTCCTCTTTTTTTGGCCTCTTCCTGGTATTTTTTTTCTCGTTCAATTTCTTCTTCCCCTCTCCTTTTTTCGAACTCCTTACGTTTATCTTCTTGTAATCTGTTTCATTCTTTATTTCACTTTTCGTTACAATTAGCACATCTTCTTTCTTTTAAGCCCATGAAATTTCAATAGACAAAAATATCATGTCTGCTATCAGTACTATGCTTATAAAGAAACTTATCATTAAAAAGCTCAATAGTTTTATTGGTTAATTCACAGCATTCTATCAAAGTTGGTTTTTTTTTCTTCCATATTAACTTATTTTGCTAAAAAAAAATGAAAGTAAATCAACTATAATACTAAAATATTAGAAAAAGATAAAAAAAACACTGAACTGATAGTACTACAGTGGTTTTTTTCCAACAAAAACGACATTCTGGTTAAACAAAATAAATAACTTATCTATCTATACAACACTTAACCAATTAATTAACTACTAACTAAAATATAATATATACATTCCTAAACTGTATATATATGAAAATAAGTAAAACTCACTGACATTGAGAAACCTTAGACCAAGATAAATGGCTGGTCAAAACTGAGCAAGGTTACACTCTAGTTATTGTCATGGAATTACGGAAATTAGTTGGTCAAGCCAGAGCAGAATTCCCCGAAGGTTATCAATTTAAAATCCACGCTTATAATTTAGTAAATCCAGACAATGAGTTTGTGCGAATTGATAACCACGAAAGTAAGCCGCCTCATTATCATGTTGATAAAAAAGAAGCGAACTTCACTTGAGTTTCCTGAGAAGCCAGCAAAAAGTTATTTTATCAATTAGCCTGTCAGCGGTTTGGTTATTTTGAATGAAGATATTAATATGAAAAAGCAATTTATTATCCAATACGACCCTAGTTATTCATTAAGCAAGATGTTTGAACATTTTGAAAGAGCAATCGAAGGAAAAAAACATTTGCAACCTCAAAATGTAATAGTGTGCCATGACTTGGCTACTATTTATTCCACTATTACCAAAAACCGGTTAGATTTATTAACTTTTTTAGTGGCTAAACAACCAAATAATATTTACCAGTTGGCCCAATTACTAAAAAGACCTTACTCTCATGTCTGAAAGGACTGTCAAGTTTTAAGCGGTTTGGGAATTATTAAATTAGACAAGAATGGAGCAGGTAAGGAAACTAAGAATACCAAAAAAAAAGAAGAAATAAAACCCATCGCCCTTTATGAAGAAATAGTGTTTAATTTTCCGGTCAAGGAAATAGTTGATTTACATGCGGGGAAATCAATTGAATCAATATCCACTTAGTTAACACTAACTAACCAAAAAAAGCCCACAATTTTTTTTACGAAGAACTTTACAAAGAGGACAGGAAATTTTAAGAAATCGACTTGAAATTTTTGGAAGTTGTAATAAATTTTGGCACCTAGTATACAATTTCCCACCAAAAAAAATAAAATAAATATGAATGATCATTGAGTTTTTCGCCGAGAGAAGACGCTAGAAACAACCAAGGGATACTTAATCAGAATCAAAATGAAATTAAAAAAATTACCTGTCCCTTATGGACAAGAATTCCCCAGTGGTTATAAATTTAGTTGAATTGCTTATAATGTGAAAAATGATCAACAAAGAGTATTATTTGATAATCATACTAACAAACCACCCCATATTCATACTAATGGCCACGAGGAATATTTTACCTGAATTTCTTTAAACGAAAGTGAAAAATTATTTCTAGCCCGAGTCCGACAAAGATTTGGTCATTTTGAAATAGAACTAGATAAAATATAAATATAATTGATATTAAATCAAAATAATATGAAAAACTTTATTATCCAATATAATCCTCACCATACTGTCAAGGGAATGTTTCAAGAATTTGAGCAAGCAATTGAGGGAAAAAAACTAATTCAGCCCAAAAATCTTATGATTGTTAGTGATTTGGGAGTAATAGATAAATTAATTACTAAATCACGGATGGAATTACTGGCCTGCTTACAAGAAAAAAAGCCCAATAATGTTCAGGAATTAGTTAATTTATTAGGTCGTAATCGTGATAATATTCAGAAAGATTTACAAATATTAAGTAGTTTAGATATTATTAAATTAAAAAAGGAAGGATCAGAAGTTAGACCAGTGGCTTTATATGAACGGATTATTTTTGACTTTCATGTAGTTCAAGATACTTCAACTGATAGCAGAAGAGCGGAAGCAGTGAGTTAAATTTTCATTTTTTAATTTATTCTCCTCCGTCGTGCTCGCAAAATTAAAACAAATACAATAACCAAAGGCAGAACAATTAACGCAGTAATAAAAATTACTCTTGTCACGGAAATTCCTTCCTGCTTTTCTTTTTCCCCGCGCAGTTCAGCCAACAAAGCATCCACTTCATGCCTTTTGATTTTATAAGCCTCTTTTTGGTATTTATTATCAGCAAGAATAAATTTGATTATCTCGTTGATGACGGCTTCCTTTTCCGACTTGGTTAAATTACTTTTTTTTAGTTTGTTTCTAATATTAGTTATCAGATTACTTAATTTATTATTGGCTCCATTTTGGCAAATCTTTTCTTCGGCTTTGGCCCTATTTTCGGGAGTGGAGTTTTGCTTGGCTTCGGCAATTGCTTTTTTAGTTTCCTCGTCCATGTTGCCGTCATTTAGTCCATTATCTTTTATTTGTTTGTCTAGTAATTCATTAGAAGTTTTATTGTATTGGGAAAGGTCCAGTTCCTGCAATCTGCTTTCTAAGGCTTTAATTTCTTCCTCTTTTTCCTGGTAAGCATTAGAAGATCGTAATTGTTTGATTTGTTTAAGAATATTTTCGAGGTTTGGGTAGTTACCTCAATTTTCTGGTTGTTTGGCTTGGGTTAAGAGTTCAATGAGAAGAGTTTTTTCTTTTTTGAGTTTTCTTTTATTGAGAATATCGATCAAAATTTCATCTCGTAATTTTTCAATTTGACTTTTTTCCGAAAGAGCATTTATTTTCTCTCCTCAATTTGGTTCATTTAGTTCGTGATTTTCTAAACTAGGTTTTTTGTTTAGTTCACTTTTAATTTGTTGAATGATTTGTTGGAGGAAAATTTTCAATGGTTGCTGTTGTATTTTTAGTGTTCTCCTTTTTTTAATGATCCTCAAAATAATTTCCTTTTTGTTGTTAAGGTCAGCAAGACCAGAAACATTTTCTAATTCTTCTTTCCAGCCAATAGGAGAATCAGCGTCTAATTCTTCGCTAGTAATAACTGGTTCTTCTTGGAGCCCGGCCTCTATTTCCTGAATGGCTTTTTGGATTTCGGATTGGAGATTTTTGCGATTGTAATCTTCATTTTCTTCTTCTCCGAAAATGGCACCTCAGCAAAATTCACAATATCACTTTTTTTTACCTCCTCCTTGCTTTCAACAAGTCGCTTCTCTAACGCCACCACAATATTCTCCTGGACATCTTCCGCCGCCTGGTCGGGGAACCTTTTTGTTTTTTGGAATTTCGTCTTCATTAGGAGCGTTGTCTTCTTTAAAACACCCTGAACAATAATTTAGACCATTTTTTACATTTTTTGTTGTTTTTTTTACTCAAAAATTGTTTCTACATTCCTGGCAACGAAAGAGAGAATTAACTTTAAATTGGTCTAAGCAATTTTGAGAACAAAAAAAGAAAAAACTGCCAGGGTCCCCCCATTTGTTGAACCATCTTCTGCCTTTGTAATTTTCTCATATTTCTATGACTATATTACCTTCTCCAATTTTGAAAGGGTTAGTTCAATTGTTAAAACATCTTTTTTTGCAATTTCCCCCCTCATTGTGGCAAGGCTCTTTGTTATCGTCTGGGTCTGGACCGCCTCCTTCTTTCTCAAACAATTTGCTTAGTTCTTCACAGGCTTTGCTAATTTCTTGAAATTTGTTTGCGGCATTTTCTTTCTCTTTATTACTTTTACCTTTTTGTTTATCTGGGTGATATCTTAAAGACAGTTTTCTAAAAGCACTTTTTATTTTTTTCAGAGCCTCTCCCTTTTCTAATTTCAAAATTTCTTCTTCTTTCAACTCTAATGTTTCGTAATAGCTGTTTATTTCTTCTTCTGTTGGCATGGTATTATTTTTTTGTATTAACTTCTATTTTTGTTTCTTGTAATTCTTCTTGTTGGATTTCCAACCTTGTTAATTCTATTTGAATTTGGCACAGTTTTTTTAATTCTTCTTCGTTTAGTTTACTTTTTAATTTTTCTTGTGCTTTTTTAAACTGTTTCTCGCTCAAAGAAATTAATTGTGGACTAGTTCCTTCAAGCCGAATTATTTGTTCTTGAGAAATAAGCAAGGTTTCTAAGGTATTTTTTTGAAAGTCATCTGTTAACTTACTTTCTAAATCAGATTTTGTTCTTTTCAGTTGTTTTTTTTTGATTTCAATCTTTCCTTCTAAATCTACTGTTTCAAACTTTGTTTCTTCTAACTGCTTAGAAAGTTCCTGGTTTTCCTTTTCTAAGATTTGATTTTTTTTATTAAGCCTTTTGATTTCTTTGCCGTCTAAGCGACTTTTTTCTTGAAGAGAAAAAATATCTTTTTGGAGTTCGCGCTTTTCTTCTTCTAGACTCTCAGTAATTTCCGATCTTAATTCCCAAACTCTGTCCCATTCTTTTTCTCGAATTTTTGTAAATAACTGACAAATGGGTTGCGAACCAGAATTGTGAAATTCAATTAACTTTAATTCCGGACAAGAAGTAACATCTACATCAACTAGATTAGGACAGTTAATAAACTTTATACTGGTTAGGTTTTCCGAGCCTATTATTAAAGTAGTAAGTTTAGGAAAATCAGAAATTTTTAATTCGCCTTCCAAAGTTAAATATTCTGCCTCTCCAAATTCTCCAAATAAGTGTTGGTCTCCGAACCTGATAATGCAGTTTACCTCTTTTTTATTAGGAAAACTTTTATTCAACCATTCTTGTGCATTTACCATAACCCTACGAACTTTTTACTTTATCAGCAAGTTTTAAAATGCCTTGCTGTATTTGCTCCTTACTGTTTTTTTTTTTTTTTTTTGCTATTGCTATTGTCATACTTATTATTAATAATAAACTGATAAGATTGTTTATTATAAGTTATTTTAATATTGAGTGTTATCTTTAATTTCTAAATTTTGCTGGATAATTAACTTCGATTTGTGTCCGATATTGCTCTTTGCCTAAAATTTTTTTCAATTGGTCTTGTAGTCAATTAATTTCCTCTTGTTTCTTTTCGAGTCGATTTTCCAATTCTTCTATTTTACCTTCTCTATCGCTTACCATCTCATTCCGAGATTCTTCCAAAAATTCTAAGCGTCTTTTTAATTGTAAAATTTCATCATTCTTTTCTTCATATAAATTTTTTACTGATTTATCATCAGCACTCTCCACTTTATTTCATTCACTAAACAACTTTTTCAATAAATTATAATCATTATCTTTTATCTCCTCTTGATTAGTTTTTTTGCCAAAAATCATTCTTTTATTAAACAATCCTCAGAATTCTTGATGTTTATCAAATTCAGGAAATAAATGATAACTACCATTTTTATCCAAAGTGGCTTCCAAACTATCCATGAAATTGGTTAAAACATTTTCAGACAACTTTCCATATACTATTCGTTTTTCTGACCTAATTTTAACTTTTAATCCTTCTGAAATTATTATCTCTCTTTCTAGTCAATTTTTAAAATCCTTTCAGCATGTCATAATATTATTATTTTATATCATAATGAAACACAATCTCTGGTTTTAATTTTTTTAAAAATTACTTAATGGGCTAGCAGAGAAATAAGAATCTCTAAATTTGACCTTAAATCATTTTTAGCCAAAGACCCACACTTTCTTTAGTATCATCTATCTAAAAAAAAACAGCGCTAAATCATTCTATCTCGGTCAAGACCTAACAAAAAAAAGAGAAAAGGTATTAGGACATAGTAAAATATCTACTACCATCCTCTATATCGTAAAGACTCTGATTTAAGTAATTTAGTCAAGTTTAGACCAGTCTAGTTTGTAAAATAACTTAATGTGGTAAAGAGTGATAAAAAACTGAGAAAAATTAGTAAGTAGTCTAAAAAAAGAATTGCTGTAACGTAAAAAAAACTAAAATGATTAACAATCAAATACAAATTAATGCCCAAGAATGATTGGAACAAAATATTCCGAGCAATCAACGGCGTAGTCTTCGTGAATTATATATTTTTCCTATCAGTGTTCGTGAAAATTCTTATCACTTGAATGTTTATGATGGTATTCCTAATAGATTCTATATTCCTTCTAACAATATTTTAGTGGGGGAGTTGAGTTTATCGGAGTTTATTTGCTTAGAAAAAATAATTGTTGAGAATCAAGCTATTAGTTGTTTAGATTTATCAACTTGTTCACAAATACAAGAAGTTTATGCTGGAGGTAATTTGTTGCGAAGAGTTTTGTGACCTAGCGAAGCTTTGAGATTAAAAGAGGTTAACGTTAGTAATAACAATATCGTATCTCGTGATCTTTCTGAGTTTAGTAACTTTATAAATCTACGCTCTTTGCTTTTGGGAACTTACGATACAGAAAGAATTCAACAAAATATTTACAACCGCTGAACTGGATCTTTAGTCCATTTACAAAATCTTTCTAATTTACAAGAATTAGACATCAATGCTACTGACATAAGCGATGGCTTAGAATATTTACCGCTTAGTGAACTCAAATTATACCACTTCACCTTCGGCACCTTAGGCCGCGCCAACGCTCAGGTAAAGGAGTTGCAGAACACTCTGGCTCGAGATTTACGACAGTCACTTCCGCGGTTGGCAAATTTTACCGAAGAAGAAGTAGACGATTGAGCTGCCCTTGGAACTTATTTTGAGGGGGATAGTATGGATTTATCCGCGCTTAAGGTAGGAATTGTTCACTATTGACAAGAGCAGCAAAGACAACAAAGTCAGGTTCAAGTATAAAATAATAATTTTATTACACTATTCACTTTAACTGCCCGTTTTTAGTCTTTACAACTGTTAAATCTACTCATCATTCTTTCAAAATTATTTTCCTCTATTCATTCTAACAAACTAGCAAGTAAATTAGGTGTTATTCTCATTATTTCTTCTTTTTCTGATTGCGAAAAGTTTCTTAAAACTCAATCCTTGATCAAAAAATTTTTCTCATAGCCAATGCCAACCCGCAATCTCTTAAAATCCTTACTCCCTGCTAATTTAATGATGTTTTTCATTCCATTATGTCCACCGGCCGAACCTTGACTCCGATAGCGAAATTTTCCTAATGGTAAAGCAATATCATCATAAATTACCAATAAATTATTCAAAGGGATACGAAAATAATTCAAAAAAGCCAAAATACACTCTCCCGAATTATTCATATAAGTTTGCGGCTTCAAAAGAATATATTCACTGGTTTGACAATAAAGACCATTAAACTTTTTTTATTTAGTTCGACATTTAATTTGTTGGCTAAGTGGTCGAGAATTATAAACCCTAAATTATGCCGAGTGTTTTCATATTCTTTGCCAGGATTGCCAAGACCAACAATTAATTTCATAGTGTTTTTTCTAAATTAATTTTTGAACTTTCTAATAATAATTCCCGCAAGGCTAATTCTCTCATTTTAATTTCACAAACTCAAATTGGAAGCGAACTTGGCGGAAGAACCTTTTGATGATAATAATCACAATGACCAATCTTATTTTTGCCACAACTTTCTGACCAACAAAAAAGGGGTCTCTGATTTCGCCAAGTATCAATAAATCACTCTCAATTTTCCTTATCTTCACTAATTCGGGAAGGATTAGCCGCTTCATGAGCATTATCTCAAACTAAAGGAAAAGAGATTCCGTGTTTATTTAAGCAATAAAGATAAAATTTGTAAAGATTAACTGAATTCCAAAAGCCACGCGCTTCATTTTCCAAACTAATCTTTGCCAGTACATAAGGAGGCAATTCTCTGACTTAGTTTTCTTCTCCGAATCTTTCTACCAATTCCTGCTTTGAATTGAGATTAACAGTAATAACCGCCTCTTGGGAAATTAATTCTAAAATCTGAGCGTAATAAATTAACTCGGCTTGAGAATTTTTTCTTATCGCCTCGTCAGTAGTTCCTAAACTGACAAACTGCGAAGAATGCATAGAAACAGTAATTTTTTTCTCTTCAATAATTGCTTTTATTTCTTGACAAAGAAGAAGAGTTTTCTCTTTTTCCAAAACCAATTCATAGTTCATTTTCTCACGGCCGAAACTCTTCAAAGTAGCCAAAGGCACCAAATGGGAAGCAATTCTCAAATGAACTACCTGAGAAGGAAGATGCCGAAGAGTAAATTTCACCACCTCTAGATTATGTTCCAAAATCTCTAAGTATTTTTTTCAAGTTGCTTCTGAACCAAGATTAATTAAATCTTTTTCTAGGGAAGTTTTAGTAATATCGCGGTGTCTGATTCTTTTTTCATAACCCCGTAAGGTACTAACTAAACCAAATTTATAATGATTACTATCTTCGGACAACTCTTTTATAATTTATTTTATGGCGCTCCGGGAAGGATTCGAACCTCCGACGACTTGTTTAGGAAACGAGCATTCTAGTCCACTGAATTACCGGAGCAGATTAATGTTTTTTTACGAATATAAAAAACACAATGCAAAAAATAGTAATGGAAAACCAAATAGAGAAAAAAACAATCATAAAAATCTGGTCTCTCCTATCTTGTTTCTTAGCACATTTTTTACAATAAATTTCATTACCATATCTTCCTCAACCATTTACTTTTCAGTAACCACTTGTTTTAGTAACTTCTTCTCCCTCAGGGATTTTCTTATAGCAATTAGAGCAGAGCATAATAATCTTTATTTAGCGTTAGTTTAATTATTTTTAAAAATTATTGAAAGGATTATTATAGCAGTGATAAATAAAAACACCAAAATAAAAAGAGTGGTAAATAATATTCAAAGTCTTTTTTCATGTCTTGCTTCTTTTTTAGCACACCGAAGACAAAACACTCCACTCCTCCCTGCCTCGCCACCTCATCATCCTGCTCGCCAATGAATGCCACTTCCCCCTCTTCTCACTTCCTCTCCTTCCAGGATTTTTTTATAACATTTGCTACACAACATAATCAATTTTAAGAATTATTTGTTTTTTTCAAATAAGAAGCAAATAAAGTAAAGAATTGTTGAAAACTATTATCATCATTTATTAAATACTGCCAATCATTCCCCAAGTCTCCATTATGTCCTATCTTTCGATAATCTTTCAATGAGTATTTTTCAATCAATTTGGCACTAAAATCATCAGATGTTAATTTATTGAGATAAACGTTAATATAACGACGTTGAGGGACTAAAGACAAAATTGAATTATTGTTATTATTATACTTGATACATCACGAACTTTTGGACTGGCTGCCAGTCAGCAATTTAATAGTCAAAAAATACTTATCTCTTAGAAAACTATCTATTTGCTTAATTCATTCTTTTATTTGCGGTTCTATGATTCCTCTTTCCAAAAAAAATTGATCTAAGTCAATGATTTGCTTGTCATTGGCTTCTGTTAGCGAAAATGTAATTGACTCCTGGTTTTTCTTTTTATTTCCCCTTTCTTCCTTATCATCTTTTTTAATATTTTTCTTAATTCCCAACAACTCCAATTGTTCGGCTCGGCCTTCCAAATATAAGATGTCATTTTCATATTTTTCAATTGTTATTAATATGGTCTCTTTATCGCTTGACTCATGAGGATGAAAAAAGGGGCTAATACATACCACTTTGGCTTTTTCTCACTTGACATCACGGTAATTTAATCATTTTGTCTGTTTGCTTTTTTCTTTATTCCAAAAATTAACTAACTCAAATTGCTCTGCTAAATCACTTTTCAAGTCAGCCAAATAATTTAAGGCTTGATTTTTGACCTTGCCACCTCGGGCGCCTTTTAAAGTCTTGTACTCGATAATTAAAAAAGTATTCTCCCGAGCATGATAGGCAATTGAATCGACCCGATTTTGGGAAACAGTAAAACTATATTCACTTTTTAAAAATTCCAATTTTGGAAAAAAATCACTCAAATTATTTTCAAAAATGTTTTGGATTTCTTCTCGTTCTGATTTAAATTCGATTGCGTCTAATTTATCTAATTTTTTATTGCTTAACTTATAAAGGTGATAAGACACATTCTTTTTCATATCAATAATAAAATTTTTATATTGTGGGATTGGTGCAATTGGTAGACACACAAGAATGAGGTTCTTGCCAGTGAGGGTTCGAGTCCCTTATCCCACACCATTAAAGAACTATAGCACATCAACAAAATCAAAATTTTTTAAAATTATTTGGAACTTATCGTGAGTAGTAAAAAAATGCTAAAATTATAATATAGATGATAAAGACGAAGTATTCACGGGGATGTGAGTTTTGACTTAGGTTGAAGTCGGTAATTATGGCAATAAACCTGTTTTGAAAAAAATCAAGACGAAGACAACAAAAATGATATTCCAGTAGGATTGTTTAACAACAACTACGGATATAACTACGCGAGAATATAATTCTTAACTAGTTCTTGTCGGTTCGCTCAATTCGAATCGGTTCGTAAATAAAATTTGGGTCAATTATTAAAGTTTGCTTATTTACTTGTTAATTGTCTATTCTAAAAATATCCTACCTATTATAAATGTATTCGTTTATTAATACTTATTAGGGAAATTCAATAATAAACTAAGTTGTAGAAGTAGTTACTAGCCATCTAAGGACACGGGTTCAATCCCGTCATCTCCACCATTATATTTACAACTACAATAACTTATAAGGTTTGCTTCTAAACTAGAAGTCAAGTCAATATGCCATTATCCAAATAAACTATTTTTGCATCCAGAAGGGTGGTAAGACTAGGACGTTAGTGGTACTATATTAAGAGGAGAGGGGGGATTTTTAAAGGGGGTAAAACTGTCAAAAAGTCTTCTTTGTTGGCTTACATTTAGCCAGCCAATTATTAAGTGAGCATTTTTTTAACAAAGACTAGTTATTTCCTTTGTCATCAAGTTTTTCTTAGTCTTTACTAAGGAATAAAAAATAAATTAAGTTAAATATGGGATAATTCTGGGTCCTCAAAAAAAAAAAAAAAAAAACTTATAAAATCACTTAATAAGAATTATGAAACAAAACAATCAAAAAAAGACTTTTAAAGAATATTTGGCGGAAATTGAAGACCCTAATTATCAAGGAGGTTCTTGGGCTTTACCCGAAAATCCTACTCCGCTAGAAAAAGCCAAATATGAATTGTGCGAAAAGATTTTAGGCTACCAAGAGGATAATAATTTATCTGATAAAGAATTAAGGCAAAAAACTGGTCTGTCACAAGAAAAATTGGAAGATATTTTATTTACTCGCATAGAAAAAGTGAATTCTGACGAATTAATAAATGTGGCTAGTAAATTATTCGCTCCTTGTCAAGTAGAAATTATTATTAAGGAGGAGAAATCTATTCATGCCCGAGTTGTTTAGACTAGATAACAAGGAATTTAGCGAAAAAGATAATGAATTACAGTGAACTTATCTTTGTTTGTTTAATTTCACTTTTAAAAGGAGAATTATCGAAAAAGTAACCATCACCGACCATCCTTGAAGGAAAAAGGTCGTGAATTAATGACAAGGGAACTGATTTTAGATATTTCAAAAGAAAAAATTAATGGAATAAAGAGAATGAGACCAGATAAAAAGTGTGGAAAAAGAGATATTTATGTGCGACAAAGGATTTCCTACAATGACAAAAAATATAAACTAGTTTTCTGATTTAAAGATAACACTACTAACCACTTATGAATCAGAAATTGCCACCAACAAGATTAAAAAAAGAGAAAATTTTTCGTAAAAGGGTAGTAATCAAGAAATTTAATACTGAATAAATTTGTTTAGTTTGTTATTTTTTTATTTTCTATGTTTTTAATAAGTACTTTTTGATAAGAAAATATTAATTAATAATAAGTTCAAAGTGGTGGAAAATCAGAAAATTAAATATTCTTATCAAGACTGTTGGAATTATGCTCTTGCTTTGCGGAAAAATATGGAGATTAAAGAGGCAAAAAATGACATAATTGCTCTTTGTCAAACGGTTCCAGAAGATTTTTGATTGAATTTTTCTAATAAATTGTTGTCTGTTTCTGATTATTCTCAAATTTGCCATGATTTAAATAGACATTTAAAAGAATATTATCCCGTTCCTTATTTGACTAATAAAGTTTCTTTTTATGGATTGGATTTCTATGTTGAAAAAGGAGTATTTATTCCCCAAAAAGATACTGAAATATTGGTGGAAAGGACTTTGGGGTGGGCTGATAAAATGTGAGAAAGAAAAGAACAGTTAAAGGTTCTTGACATTGGTACTGGTTGTGGTAATATAGCAATTTCTTTGGCGAAAAATCGACTCTCTTGAAGTTTGGTGGCGGTTGATATCAATAAAAAATCTTTATCGATAGCCAAAAATAATGCCGTAAATCAACAAATAAAAAACATTGAAGTTATATGAAGCGATTTGTTTAGTAATATGGATCAACACAAAAGATTTAATATTATTGTTTCTAATCCTCCTTATATTAGTGCTAGTGAGTATAAAAATCTTTCTCCCGCTGTTAAGGAGCAACCTAGAGAAGCTCTGGTGGCCGCCAATGAGGGTTATTTTTTTTATCAAGAAATCTTTCGTCAAGCCCGTAATTACCTGACTAAAAAGTTTTTATTGGTGGTGGAAATAGGTTATCAACAAGAGGAAAAAGTTATAAAATTAATAATAGAATACTTTCCTCATGCCAAAGTTTCTATTTTCTCTGATTACGAAGACCATTCACGAGTGGTGGTAATAGCCAACAATTAATACAAAAAGGGTTTGGTAGCTCAGTCGGTTAGAGCGTCTGACTGAAGATCAGAAGGTCGGCAGTTCGATTCTGCCCTAAACCACCATTAAATATAAAATAATTATTATGATTGGAATAACCGAAATAAATAAAGAAGTGAATAAAAAAACGAGAGTAGGTGAAGCAGAGGTAAAAACAGTAATTACTGCTTTTTTGGAAGTGATTAAGCAAGATTTAATTAAAGGTGAGGATATTAGTTTCAAGGGTTACTTTACTTTAAAAAGATCAAAACAATTACCAAAAATTAATAAGTTTTGTGATGAACATACAAAAAAAATGGATAAGTTTAAGAAAGATAACGAAGGTAGGGATTTAGTATCGTTTGTTAAATCTCCTGTGTTCAAAAAAATAAATTTAGAAATAAAAAAATGTAGTGACTGTAAGGCTCAAAAGCAAAAAATAGCCAAAGCAACTAAGTTTCTCCCACGAGTGGTTTGCAAAACTAGTGAGGGGCTATGAAAAAGTTCGAGGTCTAGCCAAAAAAGATAGGGGTTAAATGCCCTCTATCATTGCGAATATAGTTCAACGGTAGAACCTTAGCCTTCCAAGCTAATGATAAGGGTTCGATTCCCTTTATTCGCTCCAAAAAAAGCATTAAAACATTAAAGATATAAGTAAAATTAAATATATAAAATAATAAATATGACTAAAGATTTCAATATAAAGTTTCATAATCAAGGATTAAAGTTATCAAAAGGTGATGAAGAATATGAAGTTAGGACCAAAGATGGAAAAGAAGTAAAAGTGGAATTTAAAGATGATGCTAAGAAAGGTGACATTTCAAACAACGACATAGATTTAGAATACAAAAAAAAAAGTGACAGTAAATGAACGCCATGGACTGGTGTAAAGGCTGAATATGAGGAATCAACTTTTTTTAAAGGCATAAAGTTAAACAAAAAGGAATTAGAAAGCGGAAAAGAATTGAAAGAAGAAATAAAACCAGGTATTGGATTTTTCGCATCAAAGAGATGACCATTTTGATTAGTAATAGTTGTTGTAATTCTATTGATAGTTGGGCTTATCTGATGATGAATTGCTTCCAGCCGAAAAGAAGATAAGGAAGAAGAAAGTTTATAAGGGCGGGAGGTTAATTACTCCCCCTTAATTCTATGTTAGAAAGTTTAGTTAAGGAAGAGGATTTTGATTCCTTTATTCAAAATAATCACGATAAATTGGTCCTAGTAAAATTTTCAACGGTCTGGTGTTCTCCCTGCCAAGTGCTACAAAAAAATATTAAGGAGTTATTGACAGAGTTAGAAAAATCAACCGAGCGAGGGAAAAAATTGGTAGTAATGGAAGTGGACGCAGAAAAATTTCCGCGGCTAGCCCAAAGGCCCCAGTTTCGGGTTTATTCGGTGCCAACTATTTTTCTTTTTCACCAAGGCCAACTGATTAAAAAAGGCAGTGGAAGCATGAATATTCAACAATTAAGGGAATTTATTGGTATTTAAACAGGGGCCCGTTGGTGAAGCGATTAACACATATGCCTTTCACGCATACATGACGGGTTTGACTCCCGTACGGGTCACCAAAACTATAATTAATATCGGTACTTCCTCAAAAAAATGTCTTATGTTATTAATTAACCTTTTTAAATGCCAGGGAGGTGTAGTTCAACGGTAGAACATCGGCCTTCAGATCCGAATATGTGGGTTCAATTCCTGCCGCCTCTGCCAAAATTGCCCAAATCGCGCAATTGGTAGACGCAGCGGGCTTAAGATCCGCCAAGTGCCGGTTCGAATCCGGCTTTGGGTACCATGGCAATAGGTTCTGTAGTGTACTGGTTAACACGCCTCCCTGTCACGGAGGAGACAGCGAGTTCGATTCTCGTCAGAACCGCCATAAAATTAAATTAATGATAAAAATAAAAATTAATGATAAAAATAAAAAGGAATTATCCTTTCTTATTTTCAAAAAAGCCTCTTCTTTTACGCTAAGAAAATATAAAAAGAATATGTATTTTCAAAAGAAAAAAAAATAAAATTATTTTAGGAAAATGGGAAAAAATTACTGGTCTACTCTCAGTGATACTCAAGCGGAGACAGATGGCAATCACATTATAATCAAAGGAGAAGTCGAGGCCAAAAGTAAGTTAGAAGTAAGTGTTGTTGATGAAAAAGGCAGCCAAATAAGACGCTTCGTCGACGTCAAACCAGGAGAACAGAAGGTATTGATAACAATGAAGTTTCGGTGAGAGATTGGCGATGATTATCAGGATACTGATGCCGAAAATATTGAGTATATTATAAAAAAGAATGATGATTGTTGAAAAATAGACAAAAATGAACGGGGCATAATAGTAAAAGATTGGTCCAAGTATGAGGAAGCCACCAAAGAAATGCATAAAAAATTATTGGAAGAAAAATTTCCTGATAAAATTAGAGGTAATAACAAACACGAGGCCGAAGGAGTGGATATGAAATATACCATTTTGGGGAACGGACAAGGTGGCTATAAAGTAAAAATATATCACGGTGATACTGGTGATGATTGGGAATTTCCCTGGGAAAAAGTAAAAATCGAGCCTGTTTATTATGGATTAACCAAGAAACTTGGTTTTAATGACCTTTATAATGTCAAACATCAAGAGGAAGAAAAAAAATCCCCCTGAACTACTGGTCGAATTATTTTTCTCGTTATTTTCGGGGTGGTTCTGATTTTAATTATTGCCTTTTGAAAAAAGATTTGAAAATGAATCAAAGGCGAGCGGGAACAAGAAAAAAAAGTTAAAGAGCAGTTAGATATCTTTTAAAATTAAAAATATCATGAAAAAAAAAATTCATTTACCAATTCATCAAATAACTATTACTTGCGTGTACTGTAATCAGGAGTATCAAACAGTTTCTACTTCTTCTCAAAACATTTCGAATAGTAGTTGTAGTAATTGTAATCCCTTTTATACGGGTGCTTTAGCGAGTGAAATAAATGTCGGAGCAGTAGAAAAGTTTCGACAAAGGGCTCAAAAAACTAAAGCAAAGGTCTCTTAGTGAAGAGGATTTAAAAGATAAAAACCAAACTACTCAGGAACCAAAGACTAATTGAGTTCCATGAGCGATTGGCGGAGGAGCATTTTAGTCTTCCTAATTGTTATTATTGCGATTGTTGGATTGACTAGAAAGAGTGATTAATAACATAAAAAACCCTTAATTTAATAAACGAATTTACTTCTAAGCCGCAAAAAATCCTCCTTTTGCGGCTGGGTTAGTCTATGAATTATATTCTAAAAAAAATTTATTCTTTCCTTGAAGGGTGTTTTTTTACTATATAATTTTTAATTCTTTAAAGTGCTTTGGCGGTGTAGTTTACGGTGAAAATTAATAGCATAACGGTGAACTTGTTCTTGACAATTAGTAAAAAAATTTTTAATTCGTTCGTTTTTTTCAAAACTTAATTCTTGTAAATTATTAGTAATTATTTTAGCAGTTTGGTGTTTTTCGTCTTTGGCTAGTCCAATGACTGGAATTTTCAATTTTAATTCCTTTAAAGCTTGCTGAACCGTTTTCACTTGTTCCTTTCCTCCGTCAACTATTATTAAATTCGGTGTCGCTTCTGGTGAATATTTTTGACAATGAATACGGCAAGCTTTTTTTATTCGGGCCAGGTCACTCTCTAGTTCGGTTTTTTGCCCTGCTAAAATCAAATCCCCTTTAATCTCATTTTCTAATTTATATAATTTACTTTTGGTGAAATTCCTTTCCCCATTAATAAAAGTTAAAAAACCTGCTACTATATCCTGCTTGTAGAGGTTAGAAATATCTAGGCATTCGATATAATTAGGGGTTGGAAGGGATAAAAATTTACTTATTTCGGTTAATACTTGACTTTTGTTAACTTGTTGAAATTCATTTCAGTAATTTTTTTGTCAAATTTGCTGAGCGTTTTGTTGGGCCAAGTTAATTACTTCCTTTTTGCGGCCCCGTTGGGGTGATTTACAAACAAATCCTAATTCTTCCCCTAATAGTTCAATTTCAGGTAATTTTTCTGGAATATAAAGTATTTGGGGTAAAGAATTGTTTTGATAAAATTGATAGAGATAAGTTTCGCAGATTTCTTCTTGGTTGTTCCAAACGGGAAAGGCCGCTTCATCCGTCGCCACTAATTTTCCATAACGGTAAATAAGGAGACAAAGGGCCAAAACATTCTCTTGCTTATGGATACCCAAAAAGTCACAATTTTCTTTTTGAATGAATTCAATATTTTGCTTACTAGTGAAAAAATCAATATTATCCAAGATTTTTTTTTCTTTGTGGGCAATTTCAAAGGCTAAGTTAGTAATGTTTTTTCGGAGAGAGTTTTTTATTTTCTTTTTTATTTCCTGAGTTTGCCCCCGAAAAAATTTGCGAACTTCTTTTTTAATATTTTCATAATAGGATTTATCCACTGTTTTCCAACAATGACCCGAGCATTGATTGATGGTGTAATAGAAACAAGGTTTTCCAAGTTTACCTTTACATCGGGCTAAGGGGAATAGCCTTTCTAATAGTTGTAATATTTCCCGGGCCTTGCTGCCGTCGGGAAAGGGGCCAAAATACTCATTTGGACTGGTGGGATTAATTTTCCGCACCACTTTATAACGAGGATTTTCCCCTCCCGTAATTTCTAAATAGGGATAATAATGACTATCTTTGAGGAGAACATTAAAACGTGGTTGGTATTTTTTAATCAAGTTTTGCTCTAAAATTAAAGCTTCTTTGGCATTGTTAGTAATAATAGTATTAAGACTGTGGATTTGTTGGTAAAAATAATTATCGGAGGGATTTAAAAAATAACTACTGACTCTCTTTTTGAGATTCTGGGCTTTACCAACGTAAATTATTGCTCCAGTTTTGTCTTTAAATAGGTAGCAGCCAGGTTGATTGGGGGTTTTGGCGATTATTTGTTGAGAAGTAGACTTATTTTTTTGTTCGTGAAGCATTTTCGTTCATTTCTTTTATGAATAAGAAATTTTTAATACTTACAAGTGAAAGAAAAAGAGGCTCAAAATAATTAAGGATGTTAAGACCAGTTTAAAAAATATGGTTTAAAAATGGAACCCATTCAGGAAAAAGATTTGATAAATGAGATGAAGAAGCCAGAAAGAAAAAAATAATCTCTCCCTACGTAGGCAGTAAAATATTATATTATGCCAGGAAGAAGTATAAACATTTATTTGCAGGAAGAAACCTATAATCAATTACGACAAGTAGCAGGAGGAAGAAAAATTAGTCGTTTCATTAACGAAGCTGTAGTGGAAAAATTAAACAAAGAATTGGAGAAAGATAGAGAGAATTTTCAGCAACGACTAATTCGTGGTTACCAAGCCATGGCGAGAAATAAAAAACTGAAGGCCGATTTGGCTGTATGGAAGGAAACCTTAAGCGATAGTTATAATAAGAATGAGCCAATCAAGCAAGAAAATTCCTAAACAGGGAGAAATTTGATTAGTAAAGTTCCCTAAAACTAGGGAAAGTCGCAAGCCTTTTCGTCCTTGCCTGGTGATTAGTAATGATAGCCAAAATGTCTACGACGAAGAAATAATTGCTTTGCCTTTGGCGACCGAAGAAGTTATTCTGGGAGAAGTCCAACCTTTTGAAATTACTGTTCAATCTAATAAAGAAACGGGCTTAGAAGAGGATAGCAGAATATTAACTAATCGGATTCATACTTTTAACAAAGAGTTGCGACTCATTAAACGGCTAGGTCAAGTTGGTCCCGAGATTTAAAAACCAAACGTTGATTTCCTTGCGAGAAGGAATTGTAGGTAAAAAATAATGAACATATAATTTCCTAGAAAGAAAAAAAGAAAAATCAAAGTTTGCGGAAAAAAGAAGGAATTTTTTTTCTTTTTAGTTGCTTGGAATCTTTGTTAGAAAGTAAAGAAAAAGAATTTTTATTTATTTTTCCACGCCATTAACATAATCTTTACAAAAAAAATTTATAAATCCTTATTTCTTTTTTAAATCAGCATTTAACTTTTATCAGGCTGTTTGTATGGAACTTCTTGCTGAGCAATTCATTCGTCTTCCACATTCAAACTCTTCAAACTCATAGTGGACAACTCTTGAGTAACATTAGAGAGCGATTCGCTATGAAGAACAGTTGTTCCCTTTAGCAAGCAGTTTGGATATCTTATCTCTTCAGGCAAAGTCTGATTAAATTCCTCAGAAATTTTTACTTGTTGAGCAAATTCAGTATTTCTTTCATCGCTAATTTCACTGTATCAATTAAGTAAAGTTTTATATAATTCATTAGCAGTGGGGCGGTTCAAAGGGTTAGTGTCTCAACACCTGCTGATTAAATTTTCCAATGACTGTGGTATTTTAATCTGAAATCGAGGGCGGGTTCCTTCGCAGATTTTTAAGGCCAAATAAACATCATATTTCTTATCATAATGAGGAGGCAAGCCAGTTAGTACTTCGTAAGCAACTATTCCTGAAGAATAGACATCTGCTGCTTGCGTATAACCTTTTTCTTGGAGAACTTCGGGAGCTACGTAAGGCAACACTCCGTAAATTTCGTCTTCCTTTTTTAACGAATCAACCGAACGACTTAGTCCTAAATCAATGATATAACATTCAACCTCATCAACTAAGATATTACCCGAGTGAAAATCTCGATGAACTAATATTTTCTTATGAATAGAATTTAACCCCAAGGAAATAGTGTATAACAAATACAATTTATCTTCAAAATCTAGTTCTCGATAATGGTCTAGTAAATATTGTCTTAGATTGCCATCCTTTAGATAATCAAGAACCATCAGATAATTTTTAGTGTTTGGGTCTTGGGAAATACCATAACAATTGATAACATTGCTATCATTAGCGAATAGTTTATGGCAATCAATCTCCTGCAAAAATTCAGTATTAGTTGAAGAATTATCTAAACTTTTTAAAACAACTCTTCTTTGACCACCTCGCTCTCATTTGTCATTTTTGGCGTCTCAATTTTTTATTGGACCTTCCTTCCATTCGGCTTTATAAACTTTACCAAAGGCACCTTCGGCTAAATACTCAATATTTTCAAATTGTTCGTGAGGTATTCATTCTAACAACTGTCCTCAATGAGTGGCTTTCGACTGGTGTCGTTGAATAAATTTATCAATTTCTAGATCACCGCTAGTTCAGTTGGGAAACTCTTCCTGAAAACGCTTGACAACATTTAGTAACTGTCAATTTTGTCGACTTTTTAGATCAAGTTGGGTTTTCAATTCAGCCTTTTGTTCCTTTGATTGTTGAAGATATTCATTTATTAATTGTTCAATATTTTTCTTTAAGGCTTCCTCGGCTGACAACTTCTTATTTCTTATCAGCCAGACACAGAAGGAAAGATAACTAGAGCCGCAATAATTTTTCAAGTCATTAATTCACGACTGAGTTAGTTGGGAATCAGGACATTGGCTTAGCCATTGTGAAACTCTAATGAATTCGTCACCTTTTTCGCCCCAATCGTCATCTTTAATGCTGCTAATAAATATTTCACCACCAGGTATGTTAACAATTTCATTGTAATTATTAAAGATATGCTGGAAAACTTTTTGCCGAATAATATTTTCTTTGACTTGAATTTGCTCTTTTAACTGTCTTTTTTCCTCTTCTAGTTTCCTAATTTCTTTTTCGACATCTCTAGCAGTTCCAAAGTCTTGATCATTGTCTATTTGGCCACTTACTTCTCATTCTTCTTTTCTTCTGACAACTGGTTCACTTTTTTTATTGGCATCCTTATTATCATCCTCAGTCAGAATATTGCTCCTGCCATCTCATATTTTAACTTTCAGCCTCTTAAATTTTTTTACTTGTAATTTTTTTGTTAATTCTCTTTCTAATTCTTTTTTGCTCTCCATGTAACTAACGATTTCCTTGCTTAACTCTTGCAATTTGGGGGGGCGGTAAGACTCTGAAGAAGTTTTTTTTAGGTGATCGAGAATTTTCTCCTTAGACTTATCTCTTGACTTTTTGTGCAGGGCTAATTTTTTTTCTCTATTTTCCCTTTCCTTTTCACTTTCATTATGAGCACTAACAATGGAAATTGGAGGATTGTCAACATGAAGAACCCTGCCTTGGCAAGACTTGATTATTTCTGCTAGTTCACCACCCCTTTCAATCATTAAAGCAATATCATTTTCACACTTCTTTGAGTTTTTAAAATCCTTAAACCGAGTGCGGACTACGGCGGTATGTTTAGTAATATCCTGATCAAAAATAACTGTTCTCAACAAGTTATAAGTAGCCATTTCATATTGTTCAAATCGGCCATTAGTAATAAAAAAAACTTGGCTAACACCATCTTTGACTAAATAGACTGCTTCAGCAATGATATCTAATATTTTTTCGGTAGGCAGTTGAGTATCGCCAATACCTGGAGTATCAATGACAAGATAGTTAAGACCATTATTATCCTTAAATTTTTCCGTTTGAATTTCTTTTGTTTCACTTATACTTCTCTCATTCTCTTTAAAGTTATTGGTGTTAGTGACTACATTAGCCAAAGCTGATTTTCCTCGGCCGGTGCGACCAATCAGGAGAACTGTCTTAGTTTCTACCATATTTTTAAGTTTGATTTTATCTTTTGCTTTGTTCTATTGCTGCAGTAAGCTGCTCATTAATTCTTGGGAACTGTTTTTCAAGTTTAATTTTTATTTCTGCAATTGCTTTGTTTTTTTCTTCTCTTATTTCTTCTTTTTTGGTCAAACTATTACTCTGTTCAATTTCTTTTTCTTTTTCAAGATAATTCGCTACTATAGCATATATACTGTCTCATTCTTTTAACTTGTAAACCCCTTGACAGTTTGTGGTTAAATGATTTAGTGTCAACTTTCTGGAATCTTCTCTATCATTTTTGCTTATGGACATTTCTTCCTCTTTGTCTCTTTTTTCTTCTTCATCATCCTCTTCGTCTATAACAGGAATCGGCGGATTATCTACATGTAAAATGCTATTACACGACTCAATTATCTCTCTTAATTCCCTATTTTCATTAAGTAAATCTTGGCGATCTCTTGCGCATTCTTGTTGACTTCGGAAACTAACAAAGTTAGTTCGAACTAAAGTAGTAAATTTAGTAATGCTGCTTTCCGAAATGAGTTCCTTGAATGAATTGAAATTTCTTATTTGTTCCGGAGAGAATTTGTCCTTAAAGACAAAAAAAACCTGATCAATTCCTTCTTTAGCACAATAGATCCCTTTTCCTATTTCATATAGAATGACCTCCTCAGCCAAATTATCAGTGTCTCCAAACCCAATATTATCAATTACGTAATAATTGTTTCCCTCTCATTCAAAAGGATCACTTTTTTGAAAATTCTTGGTTACACTAATGCCTGAACTTCCTTCTTCAAACTGATTAGTATTAGTTAAAACATTAGCGAGGGCAGACTTGCCGCTGCCAGTTATTCCGATTATTAAAATGTTTCTTGTCATATTAAAATGTATTTTGATATATTTTTATTTTTTATAGAGAATCATAAAATAACACTCTACAAATTAGTTTTATATTGGTATTTTGTTATGTTGTTTTTGTTTTTTCTACTTCCTAATATTGTCTCTATCTTTAATAGATAAAAGTTATTAGAAATTACTTTTTAATCAAAAAAAATCAAGAGCCGCAAGAAGAGGAATTAACCGAGAAGAAAATTAAAAAGTCCAAGAAAAAATAACACATACACCCTATATACTAAAATACTATCTTACGAAACTAATCTACATTAAATCCACTATGGAATCCAAGAATTACGCCACCTTGCGTTCTCTACTCAAAAAAGAACAAGGCGAAAAAATTGCCCCTTATGTTTTTAAATTAGAGAATATTCAAGTCTTGCAAGAATATCTACGGCAGGAAAGAATTAAATGCGAGACTTACCAAGAAATCTCCGAGAATGAGGCGGAGTTAGTCAATGAGGACCAAGAATTAGAAAGGGCCTACCGAGAAATTAGCCAAGACAAAGAAAGAAAGAAAGAAATTGACTAAACTAGCCCAAAAAGCCGCTTTAAGCGACTTACGAAAAAGATTATAGTTGATAACGAGTAGTAAAATAATCAAACGGGGAGATATTTATTGGACTGACTTCACTGATGAAGAGGATGAGAAAGAGCCAAGAAAAGATAAAGTGGGCCAAATTAGAAAGAAAGAGTCTCAAAAAGACCGTCCAGTAGTTATTCTTTTTAATGACAAGCAAAATAAATACAGCGAAGAAGTAATTGTGGCTCTAATTAGTTCACAGTTAGACAAAGTTTATTACTTTGAGTCAGAAATTTCTTTAAAGAAAAAAAGTAAAATCCTAACTGACCAAATTTTGACAATTGATAAAGGAAGACTAGGAGATAAAATTACTTCTTTAAAAATCGATGAAATATTAAAGTTAGAAAAGGTTTGCATGCCGTGCTTAGTTTGAGAACTTATTGTCGACCAAGATATAGTGAAATTTTCCCCCAAGACCTGACAGCTAATCCAATTATTAGCTCAAAAAGAGGGGATTTCTGTTAATCAGTTATTAGAAAAGATAGTAAAAGGATATGCTATCAGAAAAAGCATCAAAAAAAGAGGAAGTTAATTTGTCATAGAAGCATAAAAAAAGAAAAAAATTCCCAAAAAATCTAAAAAGAAAATAAACTGACGGGAACTTTTTCAAATTTACAAATTCTTACTAGTTGCCCCACTTTTACTGTTTTTTATCTTCTGTCGTCCCCAACCCACTAACTTCTTGGCTAGTTTGCTAGATAAAATCAAATTGCTGCTCGGAACTATTATCCAAATAGTAGAATGGAACAAGGATTTATTATTTTTGTGGAAAAAAAATATTGTGATACTTAAACTGCATTTACTGAAAGGTTTGGAAAATTTGTGGCCAAAAGCAGGGGTATATTTAAAAAATTATAATATACATGCCTATGGTCAAAACGAAAAAGAAATATCTAACTAGTATAAATTTTTGTAAATAGTCGCTCCTAGTTAGATATGATTGCTTAAAAGCAAAGTAGTGATTGGAAAGATATAATTTTATTAACACTAATATAACATCAATAATATAATAATAACACAAAGTATTTATAAAAACAATATGGTAAAAGCACAAACATGGTTATACAGTCAATCAGAATATAATACACCAACAAAAAGAGCTAAAGTTAAAGAATTAGTCATCAAAGAAAAGAATCTCGAAGGAAAATTGGATTTAAGCGGATTTGTTAGTTTACAAAAACTTGATTGCTTTAATAATCAGTTAACTAAACTATATGTGGAAAAGTGTTCTAATTTAAAAGAATTGTGATGTGGAAAAAATGAACTTGATAGTTTGAAATTAGGTGAAATGCCTCGTTTACAGTCGCTAAGATGTTCGGATAATAACCTAACCAATACCAATTTTCTTTCTACTCTCTCTAACCCAGAAAATTTGTTATATTTGGCTATAAGAAACAATAATATTTCCGAACAAGACTTGTCTTTCTTAACTCCTTTTAAAAATTTGCAAAATTTGCGCTTAGGGAATGATGATGAAGAAAGAATCCAACAAAACATTTACAATCGATTCTGTGGCTCTTTGGAGCCATTAAAAAATATGACTAAATTAGAGGAATTATGAATTGATAACACCGACATTAATCAAGGTCTCAAATACTTGCCAAAAAGTCTAGAAAAAATTTATTGCTCGATAGAAAAAAGGCCGGAAAGTAAAGTGAGAGCAATTGCTGAGTCCGAACAAATAACTTCTTTTCTTACTGAGGAAAGTGAAGGAGAAGGCAGATACAACCTTAAAAATTGAAGAAATAGAGAACAAAACGCTCAGCAGTGATTAGATAAAGAATATCCTCTCGAAACTAGAAATAAAATTAGAGAAATAAATATTGATAAGAATTTAGAAGGAGACTTGTCTCTACAAGGTTTTTCTGGTTTAGAAAAAGTTTATATTGAACCTCAAAGGGGTGGCAATGGCAAACTAACTAGTTTAGATTTGAGTGATGCCCCGAAATTAAAAGAGTTGGAGTGCAGCAATAATTCTTTAAGGAATTTGAATTTAAATAAAAATAAAGAATTAGTTAACTTAATCTGTTCTTCTAATAAACTAACTAATTTAGACGTTAGTAATTGCCAAAATTTAGAAAGATTAGAAGTTCATAGCAACCAACTAGAGGAGTTAAATATTACCAATTGTTCTAAATTAAAAATATTAGATTGTGCCCATAATCAATTAAAGGAAATTGAAATTAGTGATTTGGCTAGCCTGGAAATACTAATATGTGCTGATAATAAATTAGAGAGTACTGATTTTTTAACGAATTTGCCCAACCCAAGAGCATTGAATTACTTGAGTATTAGGAATAATAATTTTATTCCCCAAGATTTGTCATTTTTAAGTAAGGCCGAATTTGTTAACTTAGATTATCTCTCGGTAAGTGATAACCATTTCTATGGTAGCCTAGAATTCTTAACCGAATTAACTGAGTTAAAAGAATTAAAAATCTCTAATACTGATATTGAAGATGGTTTGGGTTATTTACCAGAGGGCTTAGAAAAAATTTGGTGTGAAACGAGTCATCGGCTAGAGTCTCGTTGTCAAAATATTGCTCAGCAGTTAGAAGATTATTGAGAAATAGGTGGAAATCAAGCAATTTTCTGCAATTACCAAGAATGGAGAGAAGATGTTAAAAAAAGAGAGGAAATTGATAGTGAGATGAAATCTGATCCGAGATCAGTTAAGCGTTTACAAAAGAAAAAAGATATTCTAGAAAGTAAGATAGCCGAAAGGATTAAAAGAAGAAAAGAGAAATTAAATAGTTTGCTCAAGCGTAAACAGCGCAAAGGACCACACCGACAAGACTCGCTACCCATCTTTGGACAGTCTAATACTCAGTTTCTGCCCAGCGAAGTGAGTGAAAATAGTGAACGAGAGAAAATAAATAAGATGCAGGAAAAAATAAGAGATTTAGAGCAGCAATTAAACGCCGAACAACAGGAAATAGAGAGACTTAATGAAGAAAACAGATTAATAAAAGAAATAGTTGAGATTGTTATGCCTAGAAAAAGCGAGTGAGATGCTCACACACTCAAGAAAGAAATAGAAGAACTGAAAATTAAGGATTTAAACATGCAAAAATCCCAGTTGTTAAGAAATATTGATGATATTAAAAAGGAAGTGGGGAAAAGTTTAGAAAACATGGTTGATCTCTTTTTAAAAAGTCAAGAAATAATAAGTAGGGAGAAGAGAGAAAATGACCAGTTTGCTAAAGAACATTTAGAAATTCTTAAAAATTATTTGCTGCAAAAACTGACTCCGGAACAAGTTAAAGAACTCACTCGATTGCAAAACCAAATTACTAAACTAGAAAAACAATTAACCAATTTTCAAAAACAAAGAGCAAAATTTGAGGAGCAAATTGAAGTTCCTTTATCACGAAAATAATATGAAAAAATTGGTCGCTCAAGAATGATTGGATAAAAATTTTCCTCAAAACGGAGTATCTATATTAAAAAAGGTTACAAAGGGCTAAAAAGAAGTGAAATAGATAATAAAAAAGGGCAAGAAATACCTTCCACTATTTTGGTTAATCTTCTGCTTGAACATGATTATAGAGAGGATTAAAAAATTACGAGAGGAACTATACACTAAACGAGTTAAAAAGTTGTGATCAATTTATTTTCAAACAAAAAAATTAGTGCTTGCTAGCAGAAATTCTCTCCTGATGAGTTTTAACCTGCCTTATAATATAAGTTTCTTGTCTATCTTTCCAAACCTCTAAATCATAGCGCTGTTGTAAGTTTAAAAATACTTCTGGTTCAATTTGGAAATAGCAAGATAAACGATAGGCAATTTCAGGGGTTATTTTTTCCTTACCTTCTACTAAATCTTGGAGTTGGTAAGTAGGAATGTGCAAACCTTGGGCTAATTGTTCCTGTGATAAGTTTAAAGGTTGAAAAAATTTTCTTTCTAAGGTTTTACTGGGATGAACAGGTGGTAATTTAGTTGAGTTAGTCATATTTTGTTTTTAATTTCTAAGTTTAAGTTCTTAAATTAGTGACTAGCCAAAACTCGTGTTTCTGGACCAACAGGAATTTTTCGTAAAGCCGAAAAATCAAAGGTAATTAGGAAAAAGAAATAATATAACGTTAAATAACATTAAAATAATATATTATGACTGAAACTAATATTAAACAAACCTTTAGCATAACTTTACCAGTTCCTCTTTACGAACAATTACTACAAGAAATTGGCAAAGGCAAAATTAGCCAATTTATCAAAAAGGTGGTGGAAAAAGAACTAAAAAAAACCGACAAACAAAGTTTAAAGGCCGCTTACCAAGCCTTAGAAAATTGCTTCGAATACCAAAAAGAGGCAGAAGAATGAGAAGCCGCTAACTTAGAAGATGTTGAAAGTTAGTCCATCCAGAATAGTCAGAAGACTTAGAAGGGGAGAAATTTATTGAGTAGAGTTAGACCCAGTTAAAGGTAGTGAAATTCAAAAAACTCGTCCTTGCTTAATCATCAGTAACGATGAACAGAATGAAGTCAGCCGTCGAATAATGGTAATCCCATTAACCAGTAGTAAGAAGTTACCGCCTACCCCATTTCATGTTAGTCTCTTTTTCCAAAATAAGTTGGCAAAAATCTTACCCGAACAAATGAGAGTAGCCGACAAATCAAGAATTAAAGGGAATTGTTTAGGAAAGGTCAGTTGAGAAGTTTTAGCCGAAGTGGAGGAGGCTTTGCATATTGTTTTAGACTTGAAAAATTAGTATGAAAAAGAATAAAAAAGTCAGCAAGAGAACAAACTAGTGAGAACTCTTCCCTACTTGCAAATTCCTGCTAATCATTCCACTTTTACTATTCTCTATTTTCTACCGTCCAACTGCGGGAAGTTTTTTACATAATTTTCTTGATAAACTAAAATTGCGCTTAGGAACCATTATTTGAGCCAGTTTAGGAGTATTAGTAGGTGGACTTTTATTAGTCCTCTTTCGCAATAAAGGGCAACTAATTATAGACAATACTCCGGAGTTCTTGGATTACTGCTCTAAAAGTAATGGCTTAGTCTTTTTTGGCTCAATTGGGAGTGGCAAAACGACTATTTTAGTGATGCTGGCTCATGAATTACCGGGAGAAAACAAGTATGCGACTTTTCCTTGTAATCTGCCTTGGGCGGAAAAAGCCCAAATAGATTTTTTTCATGGTCCCAGCCAAAGATTGAGTGTTACTGAAACCATCTTTTTAGATGAGATTAATTTGCTTTTTAAGGGTAATATTGTCCAAGATGTTCGTGAAAGACAAAGATTTTTAATGCACTTTATTGCTTTAAGTAGACATCAAGGAACCAGATTGTTTGTTAATGCTCAAAGATTAGGACAAGTTAGTGTTGAGCAGAGAGAAGTAACGACAGCTATTTGTCAAGTCTCTTTACTCCAAAAAAACTGATAAAATGAATAGTTTGTTTACAAATTGTTCTATTACCATAGGTTAGTTAAGGAATTTATGTCCAGTGTGTGATTTGAGAAGCTGCCGCGTGAGCGAATAGTAAGAACTGAACAAGGTTTTATTATTTTTGTGGGGAAGAAGTATTTGGATATTTATAATAGTTACTAGCTTAAATCATTAAAGTATTTAAGACCTAGACAAAGTTATATCTAATTGTGCCGAGGTATTCTACAAGAAATATTTAGAAATAATTTCTGCTAAGGAATTCTTCTGTTTTATGAACATAAACTTATAATATTTGCTGGTTGAAGAGTTTGAAATACCTTTGCCCTCGACAAGGCTATGTCTAGAAGGTATTTTGGCTTATCTTAGGTTAGTAAGCAGAGAAACTCACGAGAGAGGAGGAAATTAATAAGGATAAAAAGCTAAAATACAAAATATATAAAATGATATGACAAAAAAAAAATAGTAAAAAACATTCCACTCAAGAAATAAAAGTTAATATTTTGGGCAAAGCGGAAGATGTGAGAATTTGAACTTATAAATAATGAAGAAAGAAGAAATGAAAGGATCAGACAAGTTTCAAAAGGAACTTAAGACAACAATAGATAAGGAAAAAAACAAAATTCCAGGGGAAATTAAGGAGAGAGAGATTTTCTCTACCTGATTTAACTCTAATTGTGAAATAGTTATTAATAAAGTTCAACTTTATGCAGTAAGATTAATCATTTATGAACAGTCTGTCTCAAAGAAAAGAAATGAAATTTTATTCATTAAAAAATTTCCAAGTCCAAATCTGCTGTCTGGATACCAAAGACTAGAAGAAGCAAAAAGGAAGGCTCAAGAAATTAAACAAAAACTCAATAGCAATAATCCTGTTTTGGCCATAGTAGAAGGAAATAATTTTTCTTTAAATGATGCTATAAAAAAAATTCATCTTTCTCTTGATAATATAGATCTAGGCAAACCAGAAGAAAATTTGAAAAAATTCGATATTATTTGAAGAAAAAGTCCAATAATAGGTTATCATACCGCCATTTATTTAGGCAAGGGACAATTTGCCCACATTTATTTTAATTCTGCAAACAGTTTGAGAGATTTGCAAGCAAAAAAGGACTCTTGGGAAGTTTTCTTAAAAAAGACAGAGGAGAATAGATTGATCATAAATCGTGTAATTATTCCTTTTAAAAAACCAGAATTGATTGAAGAACATATCAATATAGCTGTCGAGAAAGGATATGGTTCTGGAAAGTATAATTTCCTGACAAAAAACTGTGAACACTTTGCTACTTTGTGTGTATGTGGAATTCCTTTTTCTAATCAAGTAAACAATCTTTTTTGGAAAAGAAAGATCAAACTTAAAAAAGATGAAATTTTAAAAAAAATTGAGAAAACAAATGAATACTTTGCTAACTTAGAGAAAGGAAACAGTGAATTTAATGATAATGATGACTCTATCAGCAATTTTTCATTCACTACGGGAGAGTCTGAGTCTTTTAAAGAGGAACTAGGCAAAAAACAAGAAGAAATTAATCAACTAACCAAAGAAAATGAAAAACTGAAAAAATTACTTTTCTCTCAATTAGAAAATAAAGAAAAAGAATTAGAAGAATTAAAAACAATCGATAAGGAGAGCAGCATCGAATCATCATTATCATTGAAAAAGTTTGTAAAAGAAAGAGAAAAAGATATAATAGAATTTAAAAAGTTACTAAAACCGCTTTTATTTTTAGGAAGCAAAAAGGATGTAAAAAGTGATAGTCAACAGGAAAATGAAGAAATTTTACAATGTTTTTTTGCTCTTCTTGATCTAAATAGCCAAGATAAAGACTTTATCAACTGACTAAAAACTGAAAAGAGTAAAGACTTAGAAAACTTTACTGATCCGCAGTGAGTAAAAAATAATACTGATATAAGTAAGTTGAGAAATGAATATGAAGAATATGAACAAGGTCAGAGGCAAACCCTAATTCAAATTGACCCTAAATAAAACTCAATTACGCAACTTTGATTGGATTGTAAGGAAATTTTGCATTTATAGCCTTGAAGAAAATTTTTCGGAAAGAAAAAGTAGAATTAGCTGCATAAGAGATTTAATCATCAGCAAGCAATCATAGTACCTAAGAACCTAAAATAATATTATATAAGTAAAGTATTTCTGTGAAATAATCTACAAAACAGTTAAAAAATAACCTTATATGGTAATGAAAGAGGATATGTAATAATGTAAAAATAACGTAATGCAATAATATTATGCTAGATCTAGAATTAAAAAAAAAAATAATAAATGAGTCTAATATTCCGGGTAAAGTTGAGGATATTGTTCTTTTTGATAAGAATACCAAAAAATATGCAGTAATTACTAGCAGAGTGGCTCTTTTTGTTGTTCGATTAGTTAGTTATAAAGAAGAACAAGAAAAAATAAAGATAACATCTGTGAGGAGATTTCCTGATAACAATCCTTTAAATGGTTATTCAAATTTAGAAAAAGCTAAAAGTAGAGCGAACACAATTGAAAGTTTAGTTAAAGAACTACCAAGTGAGAATATGTGTGGAACTGTCTCTCGAGAAGATAGTGTTGAGAATATACTGATAATTGGGAGAACTGGTAGTGGCAAATCTGCTTTAGGAAATCTACTATTAAATAAGGAAGGAGACCTTGATAAAGGAGGCGAGTTTAAAAAATTTTTTGAGGAGAATGAATATAGTGTTAGTGAGATGCAGGAAATTAAAAGTAAGGAGGTAGAGATAGAAGGAATTAAATTTTGTATAATTGACACAATTGGTTTTAATTGCGATAGAATAACTAATGAAGAAATAATAGTATCTAAGATATTCGAAGTGTGTCGCAAGATTAAGGATGGATTAAGTCAAATCTTGTTTGTAGTTAGCGGGAGATTTTCTCCATCGGAAATAGAAGTTTATAATGTAATAAGAAAGAGAATTTTTGGCAAAGATATTGCCAAATATACTACAATCATAAGGACTAATTTCCCGGATTTCGACGATGAGAATAAATGTAAAGAAGATCTTTGTTTATTGAAAAAAGAAAATAAAGAATTTTCTAAGTTAATCAACTTATGTAATGACAGAATTATTCATGTCGAGAACCCCTCATTGATTTTTAGTTGAGATAAAGAGGAAGAAGAGATTAGAAGGGTGGAAAAAAAGAATTCACGAAACAAAATGGTAAGTCACTTATTAAAAAATTGTCGAGATAATTCAGATAAGATTTTAGTTGAAATATTGAATAAAAAGGTGGAAGAGGCAGAAGATTCTTTAAGTTCTTTAGTTGAAGCTGTTATTGAAGTAAGAGAGGTTTGTAAACAAATGTAAAAACTCTTTTTTTAATGTAAATTTTATATATTATAATCATGATAATAGAAAAGACGATACTTCTAATTGGAAAAACGGGAGGCGGAAAATCAACATTAGCTAATGTGTTAGTTGGAACTAATGATTTTGCAGAGAGTGCAGGCAGCGTCAGTAAAACCAAGCAACTGAAAGAAAGGACATTTACAGAAGGTGAAATTAAATATAGAGTAATTGACACAGTAGGAATTGGAGATACGGGAATGTCGTTAGATAGAATATTACGAAAATTAGCTTTGATGGGTTACTCAGTAAAAGATGGCTTACATCAAATATTGTTTGTAACTGATGGACAGTTATCCAAGGAATCTAAATTTACTTATGATTTACTAAGCAAAATTATTTTTGATGAAGATATTGCCAAATATACTACAATCATAAGGACAAAAGCTAGTTGACTTAGTTACCTTAATAGTTATAGAGGGGAAGAAGAGAGATATGAAAAAGAATGCGAGAAAGATAAGAAAAAGATAAGTGAAAATAATCAAGTATTTGGAGAACTTATTAGGGCATGCAGAGGCATGATTTATGTTGATAATGATAGTGAAGAAAAAAGAAAAAAATCAAGAGAAATTTTATTGGAATATTTTAATTCCCATAAACACGAACTTTATATACCAAAAAATCTAGTCGAATTGAGTAAAAAAATCAGTGAAGATGAGAAGAAAAAAAGAGAAATAAAAAAAGAAAGAATGTTTGGTAAACTTAAAAACAAACTTATTAATAATGAGATAACCGAAAAGATGGTGAGGCATATCGAAAAGTTGGATGAAGACTTAGGTAAAAGTATAAAGAAAGAATTAAAGCAGTTAAAAAGCAAAGAAGGAAAAGTGACTAGTTGGAAATGATTTGTGCCTAAAGAAAAAGAAGTGGCCAAAACACCAGATAATAAATCATATGAACATATCAAACATATCAAAAAAAAATGCTTAGATCTTTTCGAGAAAGAAAAGAGCAGAAAAATAGAGGAATTGGTTTATGTAAATAACATTGAAGACAAAAAAAGAGGAGAAAAAATCAGTGACGATTTAAGAATTGGTATAGAAGTTATATTAGAAATTATTAAAGTCAATGAGGGAGTGAAAAGTTGTCGTCAATCTGCAGTGGTTGGATTTGGTAAAAAAGTAGATGCTGAGAGGTTGGAAGAAATTTTCAGTTTGCAAGAAGAATTAGTAAAAATTCAAGATGAAATTGATGAAGAAGTGCTAGAGGATACATGCCAAAAGTTTGAGAAAAAATACCTTAAAAAGGTAACGGGTAATGAATTAGATAATGAGACACTAAAAAATTTAAGAAGAGAACTCAAACAGTTAATAATAATGAAAAAAGCAACAAATTTTCTGAAAGATAAAAAAACTTTTTTAGAAAAGCGCCAAGAAAATATTAAAGGACTAGAAAATTGTTATAATGAGTTGAACAATTTTGTTAATAGAGAATACGCAGAAAGAACAGTAAGAATTAAACTAATGAACGACATGACAGATGCTCTTAATTGTGACAAAGTTAATCCTATTAAAATGTTTATGGTGCTAGCCACTACTCAGAACGAATACAAAAAAATAAATCTTTCTGAAGAAATTAGTAGTAAGTTTAATAATTGTCTAAAAGATGATAAAAATAATATCTCTTTGTTTAAAAAATCTTATGAGTTCTTGAAGAACAATGTTTACGATGTTTGCAAAAATGAGGAATTAGAAACTGGTTTCAAAATTATTGAAATCCTAAAATTAGAAGACAAAACAGAAGAAGGGAGTGTTAAGGCATTTAAGCCATTCAATGCCAGATATGAAACAATTTGTGAAATTGTTAATGACTGAAAGAGGGAATATTTATCTCTTGAAGATATGAAAGGAAAACTAAATTCTCTTAGCGAAAAATTAATTAGACTGAAAGTAGAACTAGAAAGAGAAGAAAATTTTATTAATGAAATAAAAAACAATTTATACAAAGAAAAAACTATTACTCAAATCGAACAAACTGCAAATTGCAAGCGGATATAAAAATTTTTCGCATAATTAATAAGTTCGAGGTTAAAGTTCTTTTTTAAGTATTCACCTTAATATTGCTAGTGGCAAACTCCAATTCATAAATGGCTGGTGGTTTCATTTTTAAAGAAAGATGCAAAAACCAAAGATACTCTTGAAGTGAAAAAATGGAAAAAATAATAAATTTGATGATAACTAAAAAGAACCGGATCTAGAATTAAAATTGTAAGTAAAAGAGTGTATTCAAAATTGAATTATGATAGTAATCGATGGCAAAAAAAGTAAAATGGAAGAACAACAAATCCAAATTCCCAATCTCTCCAAAGGCAATAACTAAAAGAGGAAATTGGTTCCCTCCTGTTTAATAAATATTAAGAAGAATAAAATTAAAAAGTTTATCTTGCTAAAAATAAACTATAAACTAACTCTTTCTCTCTCCAAAAACTCCCCTATCTCTCTGTAAATCAAATCAATACCTAAATAACCCATTTTTAATTCTTGACAAACTTCAAGGACAATAAAAGAACCAGCACACGGGTCCACTACTAAATCTTTCTCCTTAGTCATAGCCCCAATCAAAGCCTTTATCGACTCCCTGGGCTTCTGATGGGAATGCTTCCTTTGACTAGTTGGTAAACTGCCTTCCTCTCACACAGTCCCAAAACTGCGATTAGTAAACTTTTTGCCCGTAGTAGGATATTTTTATAATAAGAAGCAAAATTCAGTATTAGAACGCAATCAAGTCCCTAATCTAAGTGTTTTTATTCCAGACTAAACAATCAACAATTTTTAAGGAAGTGTTTTTAATCATTCAAGCGGCAATCCGATCACTACCCAATAAACCTTTATTTATTCACAGTAAACAAAAATAACTAGGTTTTAACACCCTGCTGATTTGCTCAATTATCCGCATAATTTGGTAATCACTTTTGGGGATATAAAGGATAATCCAGTTTGAGGACATTAGCAACTTTTTCATACTGGGGATCGCAAAAGACTAAATCCACACTATTATTTTTTAAACTAGTCTTTGGTTACCCATTGGTCTCCATACTGCCTCTTGTCTTGTTTTGTTCTCATAATTCTTCTCTTCTCTGCAATCCCTGAACATTAAGGACTTGTTGATGTTTGGGATTAGAACTAAGTCAAGTATAAAATTAGACATAATTATTTAATAAAACAAATTAATATGAAAAAGGACAATAAATCATTCCAAACCTACCTAAAAGAAATCGAGGATCCGAAAAACGACCGAGAAATCAATCGCGACTTACCACTTCATCCTACCCCGCTCCAGGTAACCAAATATAAACTTTGTAAGAAAATCTTGGCCTATCAGTTAAAGCATAACTTAACTGATGAACAATTAATCCAAAAACTAGACTTGAGTCAAGCGGAAATAGAGGATATTCTATTCTGCGAAATTGAAAGGTTCACTGTCGATAGGTTAATCACTTATGCTAGTCGTTTATTTTCCCCACACTACATAGAAGTAATGGTAGAAGAGAGACCAGAAACTGTTAATGCTCCAACTGCCTAAATTACTCCATTTTGAAGAGGTAGATCAGGAAAAGAGATGAACTTATCAATTAAAAATTATCTTCAATTACCAGTGAATGAAAAAAATAACTATCACTAACTATTGGCAAACTAAGCCAGGTCGCGACATGATTACTAAAGAATTAATTTGAAACATTTTTAAAGAAAAACTTCATACACAAGACTTGCGACCAACTAAATACCAAGGCAAGCGAAAAGTTTATAAGTGAGAAAAATATTATGGAGATAGAAAGTATCGCTTATTTTTTTGGTTCAAAGATGGGACTGATAATCATTTGTGGTTAAGGAACATTCATCCAATTGACTAATTTTTTTTCGGGAGACTAATAAAACTCCCTATTTCTTCACTTTCTCCCTCAACTATCTCACCACCAAAATAACCAACAATATTCCACAACCCCAATAAATAACTTTCATTCAAGGAACGTTGTGGTATCAACTACTTTCTTCTTTTGTTTCTTTATCGATTGGCAGTTTCCTCGTCAAAAGCAGTTAATAACTTATCGACCATCTCTTTTTGTTTTTGTAAGTTCTTTTTACTTTCATCTCCTAACTAATTATGTTCTTTGAATTACTCTCGTAATTGTCTATCATAACCCTTTATTTTAATCGGGCCACGGTTTAAGCCAATCGTAGTTTCTAATAAGAATTTCATCATGGCGATGTCTTCACTGAATGGGGATTTTAATTGTTCTGAATGAGTAATATTTTTGGCTCAATCATTAAAAATGTAGGATGAGGAGTTGTAAGTTTTTAGCGAATGAACTTAACTCAATGTTTGGAAGTCTTATTATGCAATATAAAAAATAAACTTTATAACTTTATGGAATGCAAAAACGGTTTTGGAAGTGGTTACAAAGTATTTGATTCTATTTTACAAGACCCTGCACTTGACGGAGACTTTTATTGCTCAAGATGCTATAATAAAAATGAATAGTATTTAAAACACCGACAATCTTGTCAGCAAAGCCTAATTAAAAATTTAATTTTTATCGCCTAACTCATAGGATTTTTGACTAACTTATTGGATAAATTCAAATTTCTTTTGAGGACTATTATTTAGGTTTCCTCGAGGAGTCTTAATAGGTGGTTTGTTGTTCTTAATAAGTAATGACTTGGATAAGGAAGATGGTCAAGAAGTTAATAAAAAAATAATAAATATAATTATATATAGTATATTAAAAGCAGTATGAAAGACAACGCAACATTAAAGACTCCAACGGAGCAAATAATCAAAGAAAACGAAATTCTAGGTAAAATCCTCCTCGAAATAATCTGAAATTATCGAAATTTTACTCATCCTCATGAGTTTAAATCTGATGAAGAAATAAAGGAACTTTTAAGTAACGAAGATTGAAAAGAAAGAAGCAAATTTTGAATTACTTGAGTAGAATATGATAAAGATTACTGAGTAAGTTATAAAACAGTTAGTCGTCATCAAATTAAACCACAGAATATTGTCAAACTGTTAAGAGGAGTTATTACTAATTGTGAGGACAGGATGGCAGAGCAGACTGCCGAAATTAAGAGATTAAAAAAATCTGAAGAACAACTTGAAGATTTGAAAAAAAAAGTTGTTGAAATTATGTTAGAATACTACGAACCACGGCATTATGGAACAGCCGAGGAGATTGTGAATAACGATAATAGTCGAACTAAGGAATTGGTAGCAGAAATAAAGACTAATGAACAAATTAAAGAAGTCATCTCTTTAATCATTGATTCTTGAAAAGAAGATGCTACTTCTCATATCAAAGCAATAGAAACTAGTGAAAAATGAAATAAAAAAATAGCAAAAGAGTTGAGAGAAGAAATTAGAGATAATTCTAAATTGTTAAAAAAAGAGCATGAGAAAAATGCTATTTATGAAACGAAGATTAAAGAGTTGGAAGCAGAATTGAACGAGCAAAAAAAATTGCTAGAAAGAGAATACGAGAAAAACAAAATCCACAGGCAAGAAAACCAAGAACTGCGAAAACAGTTGAACTTTTCTAATAAACCTTTATCTAAAAAAAGAAAAAAACAAGAAGTTGAGTCTCAACAGATGGCAAAGAAAGCAAAAGTTCAAAACCAATTAATAGTGGCTCAAATAGAAATCAAAAAGCAGTAATGAGAGAATTGCTTTACACAATTTTAGAATTGGAAGAGTGAAATAAGGGAGGGAATTGTGATTTTTGCCCCCACTACCAATCAGTTTGCCAAATTAGAACCCGAAGCAAAGCGACTGGTGAGATAGTTGAAAATGATGTAGCGTGTGAAAACTGTAAAGAAAAATTTGAAAATGATGAATTACCTAAATGTGAAAATTGCGGAAGACTAAAAACTAAGTTGAATTTCAATTTTCAGAGCAATAAATACATTTGTTATTGCATTAGATATAATGAAGACCTAGAAGAAAAAGAAGCTCCCGCTTCACCCCCGAGAGAAAGCATGTTTTCTTTTTATGAAAGGCAAATAAATGGTTTACGTGAACAATTAACTGCCGCTGAAGAAACAATTGAGGAGGAAAGACAAGCCCATGAAGATTTTATGGAAAAGTCAGAAGAATGAGGCAAAAGACAAAAACAGGAGTTATTGGATGAAATAAAGAGATTAAAAGAAAGAGTTAAGCAATTAGAAGAGCAAAATTCTCAATTAGTAGCACAAATTGAAACTAAAAATAAATGACTATCGCGAAACCTACTTCCTAGTATCTAAATTGCTTGAAATACAAGGCTATATCCAAAAAGATATTGCTACTGTCTATGGAAAAAAATGATGATTTAATTTCCAGAATGGTTAAAATAAATATATTGTTGAATTCAAGAAAAATCAAAAGTTAATCTTGGGTTAAGTAATATTAATTAGAGTCAGTTGTCATTAAAGCAGGACATTTTTAACAAGAATGATGAGTAGTTTGAAGTGTAGGATTATAAACTTGTATAAAATAAATTAAGGAGGAGTAAAAAGTAGTAAACTAGTTTAATTCTGGATCTTATTAACAGAGAAAGAAGATGTTTGCTCTCTCTCTCTCTCTCTCTCTCTCCTCATATTGTCGTTGTTGTTGAATATGCTGTAATTATAGATATTCTTATGTTGATGAGATAAGGAAAAAAGGATATTGGGAGTTTAAAAAAGCCTATAATTTACATGTCTATGGGAAACTTACAAAGTGCTTAAAGAATAAGACGAATGGGATGAGTGTCTAACTTACAATATATAAAATTATAAATATAACCTTAAAATAAAAAAATATTAAAAAATGGTAAATTTCGAAGATAGTAAATATAAAACTAAAAATGACATAATAAATGCAGTGGACGAAGATGGCAAACAAGTCTTTAGTAAAGACGAAAAAAGTTTGTTTATTGATTATTCAATTAAGTCAGTTAAAGATGCAAAAGAAGTTGCAAAATTGATATTAAAATCTAAAGAAGCACGAAAAAAGAAAAAGGAAGATGATGATTTAAAAAAATATTTAGAGGGGGAAAGGTTTAAAAACTCTTTAGCTTATCAAATAGTGAACAAGAAAGATGAAATGGTAGACGAGGCTATTAATTGGCTTAAACTTTTAATTGTCACTGATGATTCTCCAAAAAGTAAAGATGAAAGAAAGAAAAGAAGGGATGAAATAATTCTGGAAATTAAAAAAAAGGAGAAAGAACAAGGAGAAATAGGAAGAAAAATAGCAGGTTTTAAAAGTGAAAAGAGAAAAAAAGTTTTAGAAAAGCAAAGAGAAGAGAAATCATTATCTAGAAGAGAAGGTTTAATGACTTTATTAGATGCAGCGAATAAAAAAGATACTGATGAGATTACTAATAAAAATGGTGAGAAAATTTTGTTAAATAAAAATATCGAAATTAATGATTACAGTTATATTGATAATGGTTGAAATGGCATATCTCCTAACAATACTGTAAATCATGTTCTTAAAAAAAGTGATGACATTTCAATACCAAAGAGTACAAAAACTGTTAAGGAATGAGTAGGAGTGGCTAATAGTTTTCTGGAAAATATTATTAATGAAAAGTGAAAAGCTGATACTAGAACATATCGACATACTAACCTAAAGTATAATATGGGAAGAGAATGAAATTGCAAACATAATCTTCAGTGTGTAGAAAATTCAATGGGATATTCTTATTTATGTGTTTTGCGACGGATAGGAGATAATAAACTTATAAAAATTATTGAGGAAAAAAATCCTAGCAACAAAGAAGATTTAAAAAAATTTGTAGAGAGATATTTTGGAGAAGGGGATGAATGTTCTATTAGTCCATGAGAAGAAAAATTTGGCAGAACTTGGCAAAATCCAGAGGGGGAAGGTTCTGCTGAGAGACAATTAGAAAAAGAAAGAGCATGATTTAAGACAATCTTAAGTGGTGGAGAGGATAGTTACCCTTATGTTGATGTTCCAGATTTCAAAAAGCTTTTTGAATTCATGTATACAATTTTTCCTGTAAATGGAACTACTAGAAAATTACTTCCTCAGGATTATTTGGACAAGACAGATAGTCCTTTGTTTTTAGAGGCTAAGTTAGGCGAATGAAAAGACGATTGAGACGAAGATGAACTTGAACTTTTTGTTGATGGTCATAAAAGTAAACCTCCTGTAAAAAGTGCATCGGATAAAGATAAAAAAGACCATCTGAACGATTATATGGCTGATAAAACTACTAAAATCCTTCCCGGAACAAGTTTTAAGGACCTTACTCAAATGTGATGAGATGAGTTTTCTCCTTTTTTAGATGATGCTACTCAATATTGAAGTGATACTAACCCAGAAGCCGATTATAGTAATAAGAGTACACTAAAAGAACTAACTGATGAGGATGTATGAAGGGCTAACTTTCTTGAGCAGATCCGTTATGCTAGAACCATGCGAGAATTAGCCTTTAAAATAGGATTATCTGATGAAATTGATGAATTTGATGGTTATATACTTGATATTGCGGATGAAGCTGATGATATTAGAACAGCAAAACATTTAAAGAAATCTCTCACTGATAACAAAGATGAGATTTTAAAAATAAGTGACACCAACGATTTTGGTGGTCAAAACGATAAATTTGGATTAGTATTTTATAATTATAGGAAGGCTTTATTAGAAGAAAATTTATTAAGTAATAAAAGTAAACTTGATGAAATTATTTTGGCAGTAAAATTAAATGAAGATGCACGTGGCGAAGTTGCTTTTCTTGAAGCGGAAATTAAGCGAATTGATGATGAAATTAATAAGTTGTCCACTGACGAACTTAACTTAAAATTGGCAATTAAGTCATTGAGAATGGAAGAAGAAGCACTAAAAGATGACGATGAATTTGAAGAAGAAGACTTACTTGGAAAAATAAAAAAATTCGATGAACTTTATGGCAAAAAAAGTGGGCAAGATGGAAAGTGAACTTGAAGGCAATTAAGAACTTTGCAGACTAGATTGGCAGTTATTAAGAAAGAAATGAATGACGATGCACGGTTTAAGAGAGAAGAGTTTGAAAAAAAACAAAAAGAAGTTGAAGAAATTGTAAGGAAAGTTAATGAGGGAGGTTTTAATACTATTATTAATCAGGATTGGTTAGCAATAAAAGCCAAAAAAGGTGGTTCTCTTGTGGAAGCAATTAAAGAGGTTGATAAAATTAAAGATGAAACAGGAATTAGTTGGAAGATTATTGCTGACGCTTTTAAAGGACTAGCCGATTATGTTAAACTTGAAGATGAACAACAAAATGATTGAAGTGAGCTTAATAAAGCAATTGCTGAACCAGATAAATACAAAGACAAACCAACTCCTCAAACTAAAATTACCAAAGAAGCATTGGCTACAATTTTAGGTCTTGATGTAGATGATAAATTACTTGTTAAATGAGACAAAGCAATTGATGGCAAAACTCTTTCCAAAGAAGACATCGAGGAAATCTTTAATAATTATGCCCCAACTAAAACGAAGCATGGTGCTCTTATTTCCCATTTAAGAGAGAAGGGAGTTGAAGATGGCAATAAGATTACTGACGATAAGGAAGAAGAAGTATGGAAGAAGTTTTTAACAGATAACGATGCAACCAAGGTAATAAAGACGATTGTGGCTCACGAATATGAAGACGCTCTAAAAGGTCCATTTGATGAAAATAATGCAATAGTGAAAGAAATGAGAAAGAGCGAAGCCCATTATGATGAAGATGATACAAAAAACAAATTTGATAAAGACAGGTATGGTAATCCTAAGACTTGTGAAGATATAGATAGGAAGAAAGCCATTCAATTCCTTTTTGATAAGAAGATAAAAAATATTAAACAAGGTTCAGTTTGAAAAGAAGATTCTAATAGTGGTGGAGAGGGTGAAAAAAACACATCCTGATTTAAATTTGGAAATGGTAACTGACGACCTTATGTTACTTACATTGGCGGAGCCTTGGTATTAATTGCTATTGTTATGGCTATCTTCTGAAAACAAATCAGCGAATGATGGAACGGTCCAGCGGAAGAAGAGGGACAAGGCAAAGAAGATGATGAAGATGAAAAAAAGGATGAAGACGAATAATATAAAACTAAATTATTGGTGAAATAATCTGCCTACTCTCTGGTAGGCAGCAGAACTAAATAAGGTTAAAATTAAAACAATAAAAATACAACAAATATGAATCAAAAATACGCAAACGACAATACACTTTGGATAGAAATAACTGGACAAAAAGGTTTTTTAATGTTTGGAGATTTAGCTGAAGAGCAAGGAAAGAGTGGAAAAGTTGATATTTTATGTAGCAATTGTAAGCATAAGTTGCCATTTGAAATCACAAAAGAAGATAATAATGGAGTTGTGGAAAAAGTGTGAGACTGAAAACACTGAAGAGTTTTTTTAAAAGGTAATCAAGTTCGCCGAGGCAGCCGTGATTATTGATGCAAGTTTAAAGTGGTGTTTTATTGTGCGCATTGCACAGGCTGATTGAGACCAAGGCCAAAGTTGTAAAATGTAATATATAAAACCTGAAGACTGGTGGCAGTTATTCAAAATAACTGAGGAAAGTCCGTACTCGCACTTACTGGAATGTAAGTAGTTTTAGTGCTAGGTCCAATAAACCTAGGCGGGTCTTTTGTTCTCCTCCCGACGGCTGGCGAACTACCTGCGTGCCTTATTTCTCTCTCCTTGGCATATGGTATATTAGCCTATAAAAGTGCCATAGTGACGATTACTCGGGAAACCGAGGAAGTGGAACGTCGTAAACCCCACTAGCGAGCAATCCAAATTCTTTAAATTGGTAGGAGCACCAAAGAAAGAGAAAAATAATCTCAATTGGTAATTCTCACAAGGAATTAAGACAGATCACCGGTTAAAAACAGAATACGGCTTATTCTTCATGGTTTTAAATTATTATTGTTTATCATAATTAAAAGTGCAGAGAGTGACTAAATAACTCTCTTGGTTGGGAGGTGTAGTTCAATTGGTAGAACATCAGACTCCAAATCTGAGTGTTATGGGTTCGAGTCCTGTCACCTCTGCCATTTTTACAAAAAGGTTTTTTACTAAAAATTCCCTTCTGTAAAAAATAACAAGGTTTTAGTTAGAAAAATTTCTATTCTTATACCTTTTGTATTAATGTCAATCTGTGCATTTTTTTTGCACGGTTTGTTATCCAAAAGTATCTAATTTTAAATTTATGCCTTCTAAAGAAAAAAATAAAAAAGACGAGTATGGAGCCGAGAGTATTCAAGTCCTAGAAAACATTGAAGCGGTTCGCAAAAGACCCGGAATGTATATCGGTTCCACGGACGAACAAGGTTGACATCATCTTTTTCAAGAAGTAATTGATAATTCAATCGACGAAGCCGTTGCTGGTTATTGTAGTCAAGTTAAAATAACTCTTTCTGCTGATCAAAAAATTATTACAGTTGAGGACAACGGACGAGGTATTCCGATTGAAATTCATCCTAACACTAAAAAAAGTACTTTAGAAACTATTTTTACTTTCCTTCATTCAGGAGGTAAATTTGATAACAAGGTTTACAAAACTTCCGGTGGACTGCACGGAGTTGGAGTGACGGCTGTCAATGCTCTCTCGGCCAACTTAAAAGTCTGAAGCAGAAGGGACGACAAAACTGAGTATTTAGAATTCCAAGAAGGTAATTTAATTAATTCCCAAATTACTGATACTCCGAAGGCAGCCAATGGAATTACTATTACTTTCACTCCGGACCCAAAAATTTTTCAAGAGTTCACCTACTTTAAAATTGAAACTATTCAAAATCGTTTAAAAGAATTAGCTTATCTCAATCCCAATGTTAGTTTAATTTTTTATGCTTCTCCTCAGGCCACTCCAATTACTTATCATTATAGTAGTGGTTTGGCTGGCTGAGTAAAAGAAGTAAACCAGGATAATTACCTCGAAAATACTGAAATCTGTGCTGAAGAATGAACTAGCCCCAATGAAAAAGATTATTTTTATCTAAACTTTGCCTTTCAGTATAATCAGATCCAAAGAAGGAGTTTAGTTAAATCCTTTTGTAATAATATTAGTACTGGCGGCGGCGGAACTCATGTTGAGGGGTTCGAAAATGGTTTAGTTAGTGCTACTCGCGATTGAATTAAGGAAAAATATCCAAATCTAAAAGTAAGTGTTTTAAAAGACGATGTTTTAGAGGGTTTAGTAACTATTTTAGCGGTTCGGATGAAAGACCCCCAATTTTCGGGACAAACCAAGGACCGCTTGGCTAATAAACCAGTTCGGGAAATTGTCAAAAATGCGACTTATGATTTAGTCAAAAAGTTTCTCCAAGATCATGGAAGTAGTGCGGAAGCAATTAGTCGCCAAATTATAACTACCGCTCAAAATCGGGTCAAGTATGAGGAGTATGAAAAATCTTTGCGCGAAGGAGGACGGAGCGCTGCTTTACCTGGCAAACTAGCCCCTTGTATTTCGAAGGAGATTGCTAACAATGAGTTATTTATTGTCGAAGGAGAATCAGCGGGAGGTAGTGCTAAATTAGCCCGTGATCCGTATAATCAAGCTGTTTTACCAGTCCAAGGAAAAATTATTAATGTGGAAAAGGCTGAACGAGCCAAAATCCTGGAAAATGAAGAAATTAAGAACTTAATTAACGCTCTCGGGTTTAGTGTCAGTGAAGCTACTCAAAACCATTATAATCGTTTTCGAACTAAATTAGAAGCCGAGATGGTAGGAGAATGAGAAATCCCTGAGGAATTTGTCTACCGAGACGAGAACGAGCAAGAACAAGTAATTCCTGCTCACACTTTTTTGACAATGGAGCAATTACAAACTATAGTTGAAAAAACACAACAGGATTTGTTAAAAAAACTTCGTTACGGCAAAATAGTGATTATGACCGATGCTGACCCCGATGGTAAGCATATCGAATGTTTGGCCTTAACTTTTTTTGTCCGCTATTTTCGTTATTTAATCGAGGAACATAAACTTTATTTGGCGGTAACTCCTCTTTACCGTTTACAAACTAAAAAAGAAACTAAGTATTTTTATAGTGATCATGAATTAGAAGTTTATCAGCAAGAAAATAAGGGAACTATCGGCCGTCTGCAACGATTTAAAGGTTTGGGAGAAATGAATCCTCAACAATTGCGGGAAACTACCATGGCAATCAAAAAACGTTGCCTTCATGAATTACTTTTCCCTAATCCCCCTACTATCCGGGAAATTATTCAAGATTTAATGGGTTCAAAGAGCGAACCCCGCAAAAAACGTTTAGAAAGTGGTGAACACAAAAACGCTCAATTAACAGTAATTGATAATAAAGTAGACATTGGACAGGCCTTATTAGTAAAATTTCTGGAATATGCCTACGAAGTAGTAGAGGACCGGGCTCTGCCGCAATTATATGATGGATTAAAACCAGTTCAACGAAGAATACTTTATACTCTTTATGAATTAGGATTATTGTCAAACAAGCCACATCGGAAAGCGGCCAAGGTAGTTGGGGATGTAATTGGTAAATATCACCCTCATGGTGATCAAAGTGTTTATCAAGCCATGGTGAAAATGGCTCAAGACTTCAATTATCGCTATCCGCTCATTGATGGACAAGGTAACTGAGGTTCAATGGATGGCGACCCAGCTGCTGCCATGCGTTATACCGAAGCCCGCTTAACTAAGTTTGGTGCTTATCTGCTGGAGGATTTGGCTTTTGAAACAGTCGAGTGAATTGATAACTACGATGAAACAGAAAAGGAACCAAAAATATTACCGGCTAATCTTAACCTATTATTAAATGGCTCTAGTGGTATTGCGGTCGGAATGAGTACTAATATTCCACCTCACAATTTAGGAGAAGTGGTTGATGCTACTATTAATCTTATTCAGCAACCAGAAATTAGTTTAGAACAATTGATTACTTATCTGCCAGCCCCTGATTTTCCCACTGGTGGCCAAATCTTAGAACAAGAAAAGTTACATAGCATCTATGAAAAAGGCGAAGGAACCATTTACATGCGGGCCAAGGCCGAAATTATTTCTAGCAAAGGTGAAAAGGAAAAGAAAGATTTAATACATATTACTGAATTACCTTATAAGGTTAACAAGGCTAAATTGGTCGAAAGTATTAGTCGGATAATTAAAGATAAAGATAAAATAGATGGTTTGCGCAGTGTAGCTGATTATTCTAGTTGAGAAGAGCCAGTTAATATTCACCTAAAATTTGACCCTAATTATGATGGTGAAGTTATTCTCAATCAATTATACAAGTCCACTAAATTGCAGAGTACTTTTGCCGTAAAAATGCGGGCTTTAATTGATGATCAACCGAAAGTTTTTTCTCTAAAGGAAGTTTTAGAAGGATTTATTAGCCAACGTTTAGAAAATATTCAGAAAAAGGCTCGATTTATTTACAAAAAGAATCAAAAAGAGTTAATTAATTTAGAAACCCGTCGTTTCATTATCGATAATTATCGCGAAATTGCCGAAATTGCTCATACTTCCTCTTCTGATGAAGAAAGAGAAAAAAAATTAAAAACTCGTTTCAGTGCGGAGTTGAAAAAGTTACAAGAACAATTACGAACAATACAGGAAAAGTCGGATGATTCGTCTGAGAAACCAAGTAATTTAGAGCAAGAAGCGATTAACCGTATTTTAGATACTCCCGCTAGTTTCCGTCAATTTACTCCTGAACGAAGGGAAAAATTACAAAACGATATTAATAAACTCCAACAGGATAACGCTGAACAACAATCAATAATTAATCAGCAAGAGAAAAGAAAAGAAAAATTAATTCAAGAATTACAAGAATTAAAAAGCAGTTATCCGCACGATAAAAGAAAAACTACCGTTACTTCCATCCAGCATTCGATCGAAGAAAGACAATTGATTCCGCATGAAGAAAGAATTATTTTACTGAGTCGCTCAGAAAACAAAAAAGAAAACAAAATCAATAATTATTTAACGGTTCATAGTTTGGCAGCCGTGGAGCCAACTAATATTCCTAGCCAAGGAAAAGAGTTAAAAACTAGGGGAGATAATTGAACTATTATTAAACTGGACCGTCGGGATGATTTGTGATGTTTCTCTAATTATGGTAAATTATATTCTTTAACTTTCTATAAATTCGTGGCTCTTAATAAAACCACTAACTTAAACGAGGAATATTTTGTAAGAACGCGAAAGGGAGAGGTAAAACCAACTTTACAAGCCCAAGAATTCTTTACGAGTGCCTTATCGGTTCCGGAAGAATTTACTCAAAAATCTCTGCTTGTTATTACCAAAAAAGGAAAAATTAAGCTTCTGGGAACCGAAAAACTACAAAATATTAGCAAATCAGGGAAGAAATTAATTAATCTTTACCAGAAAACTATTGAAAAATGTTCTCTTCATCAATCTCAACTAGTTGAACATAAGGCTATTTCTCATGTTTGTGGCATTGGCTGTCAACAATTACGAGAAATTCAAAAAGAAATTAGAGAGTGTAATAATTGTCAAGAAAAATGAACAAGTAGTGGTGATGAAATTGTTAAAAGCAGTTTGATTCAAGGTAATGAGGAAATAGAACTCATTATCAAAAGAAAAAGCCAAGATGGCGTTGTGAAAAACTTGAAAGTTCCCGTTTATCGGCAAGTGAGAAAAAAGGATGAGGAAGGAAATTCAATTTATTGTTCGATTCACCAAAACCAGTTAAAAAAGCATAAAACTGCTAATTGTTGTGATAAAAGTCAAGGGGTAAAAGCTTATTCTCGTTGTCCGCAATTTAAAAAATTACGAGACCAAATTAAAAATTGTTCAGACTGTCAAAATTCTGAGTTGTTTACTAAACAAATTCGAAAGCAGGTAAAATGTGAAACAGTAGTAGACTTGTTAATAATGAAAGAAGAAGACAAAAAAAATCTTCTGTTGTTCTTAATTAAAAAGGATAATAATTGCGAAAAAAGACCATTACTCACAACTAAAAATTGAATTGGTTCTGATAGCAAATTGAAAAAGACAGCATACTGCAAGAAACATTGGCTCGATTTAGAAAAATTAGAAAAAGCCAAGGAAAGGGTAGAAAGAGAATGACGTCAGGAAAAAGAAAATATGGAAGACAGAGTGTTGAAATCTACTTTGCCACTGGAAATTAAGGAAAAAATATTGAAAGATATTAAAATAATCACTGGGTTAAATACTAAGGAAATAATGAGAAAGATTGCTAACTCCCCGGTTGATTCAACCATTGGTGAGGTGGCTATTAAAGACCAGTCAAAAGACCTCAGACAAAAAGGCGAAGTTTACCAAAAATTATCGGAAGAAGTTAAAAAACAACAGGACAAAATAAGCAACTTCAAAGAAAAAAGCGGGCGATGCCAGGACTGTCAAAAATATTGTGACGAGCATGAAAAGCAAACTCAAAAAGCAATGGCTGAGCATGAGAAATGTAAACACTGTCATAAATATGATAAACAAATTGAACAATCTAAAGCAAAAGTGGAGGAAATTAAGGAAAAGTTAGAAAATTTAAAGAAAACCAAGCCAGGGGCCACGAAAGAAATTCAAAAATTAACTACTGATTTAGAAAGTAAAAAAGAGCAAAGTGAAATTCTTCGCCACCAAGCCCTCGGTAATCGAACCAAATGCCCCACTTTAAATAAATTGAAGGCCGAAAGAAAAGGTTGTCTAAAATGCCAAGGGCAGGAAAAAAAGAAGCATCGCGCCCAAGTGGAAAATCCTTTGCGACGAGTTTGCTTAGTTGATAAGGAAAAAAATCCTGAGATATATCTATTAGCCAATGCGGATGTCTGTTGATATAACAAAAAAGATTTAATTTCTTTCTTGGAAAGTAACGGCAAAAGCAAGCGGATATTAAGGGATGAAAAAAGAGAAATTACTGATATCAAAATTTACTCTCCTTTCTAATTTTACTTAAATGGCATAATAACAACATCACAAGAAATTCTTATGGAAAAGAGGAACAAAGAGGGCTATACTACCCTTCAAGAGAAATTGCAGAAGTTAGAAAGAGATTATTTTTCCACCAAAGAAAGGTTAAAGATGTATGGTGCCAAGGACTGTTCCGAAAATAGTGATTGATTATTATTAAATGAAAAATTAATAATTTGTCAAGCCCAAATTGGTTTATTAAAGAAGAAAATGGTAGAAATGAATGAAGAGGATGATAAGATTATTACCTATCGTCTTCTGGAAACTGGGGAAGATAAAACTATCCAATTGACTAGTGGGGAAACTGACCCCGATCAGGGAAAAATTTCTTGCCTTAGTCCGCTAGGAATGGCCCTTAATAATAAAAAGGTAGGTGAAATAACCGAAGTCAAAACCACTCAAAGGAAATACAAAATACAAATTCTTGTTATTAAATAATAAAATGTCAGTTCGCTTTTTACTTTTTTCTGGTAGTTGAGAAAACGAGGGTAATTTTTACCTTTTGGAGTCAGAAAAACATATTCTACTCCTCGCTACTGGCAAAGATTATTCATTAATTGGTTCTCAAGAGCAACAAATTGGCCGTGATTATTTGAAGGAAAATAAAATCAAAATTAAGGCGATTATTGTGGCTAATACTAATTGGCAAAATGTCGGTTTGATGGCCGATATCTGCCGGGAAATTGGCTTCCATGTTCCCATTTACACTAGTTATCAGAGTAAATTAGTTTTTTCTTACCTTTTCTCTTCCGTGAGGAATAAATTAATAGTGGCTGAGAAAAATAAGGAATGAAAAATTGGTGATTTTGTTCTTTCTTTTGCTCCGCTTAATGGTTATTTATTGGGCAATGTGGGGTTAGCAATTCATCATTCTCAATCTAGTTTCTATTTTTTAGAAGGGTTTATTTTTAGTAGTCTCTTGAATAACAAATTACTTTTTGTCCCTAACTTCTGGTCTGATTTTCAGCAATTTTGTGCGCGAAAAAGAAAAAATACTTACTTAATTACTAGTTATTGGGGTCTCCATTGGCAGAATAAGAATTCGCTTTTTTTTGCCACTAAGAAAATTCCTAGTCAAGAGCAGCCTCTCTTTTTCCTTTTCTACGATTTTGACTGATTACATATTTTGGAATTATTGGAGTTGGCCCGCAATTGAGGCCGACGAGTACAAATCCTCAGTAAGGATTTTGTTCCACTAATTAACCAAGTATTAGCTAAAAGTTCACTCCGGGAAGTGATTGAGAAAGAACGACCCCAGTCAGGGGGAAAACTGAAACAAGAAGAAATCTACTTGCTAGTTGGCAGCCCGGAAAATATTGAAAAAAAGATAAAAGATTGTTTAACTAATTTTTCTCCGCAAAAAAAATCTATTTTACAATTTATAGTCGGTATTCCACCCGTAATCGGTGGGGAGATGAGATTAGCCCGCATCATTGATTATCTTTACACCCAAAGCGAGCACATAATTAATTTAAGCAAAAAGGAGTATTTAAGTTTAGGAGTAAGTTTTTATGATTTCAAATTACTTCTTCAATTATTACAACCAGTGAGAACAATTACTCTCCAAAATAGTTATAAGAATCAAAATTTTCTCTCTCATTTACCAGGCAAGTTTTTAACCCTCAATAATGGTTGTGCGCTCGATTTTCCCACCCACAAAATCTCCTCGTTAAAAGTAAAAAAAACCTTGATAAGTTTGGATGAAATATTAGTCAAGCAAAGGAGTAATTTAGGTCAGAATGGTTTATTAGTTATTCTGCTTACGGCCGATTGAAACACAAAAGTGTTGGGCGAAGAAAAGGATAATAAATTACAATTAAAAGAAGTAGAAATTGAGTCCCTGGCAATTAGTTCTGGGCTTAGTATTCCCAAATTAGCCACTAAAATAAAAAGTTGATGACCGACTAAATTGGTCCCCGACCTGAAAAAAAAATGACCCTATAAAAATAATAAAAAAGGTGGTGGAGAGGAGATTAAATAGTTTAGTAAGTAATTATCTTAATTTAGAACATGATATAAATCTCGAAGAAGCCCTTATTTTGTTGTTTATTCATTAGGTGAACAGTTTGAAAAAAATAGATTATAAAAAACTTCTTTATAAAATGGGAGAAGAATTAAATTTTAATAACTTATTAACTACTTGAAAAAAA